TCCTGCAGGATATCAAGGCATTGCACCTCTCTGTTGATTCCAATGCATGTGATGACTATGACATTGCTCATATGCCGGACTACTTCAATGACTGGTGGAAGGAAAGTCTCGGTTCTTGCCGGGTGTCCGATATGTTGCCAAAGTCATCCATCAAAGATGTGATGGATTTGGTTGAATTTCACTGTTCACAACTTGTAAGTCCCTCAGATCATGTTAATCTTTGCCAGATGCTCACAACATCCAAAATAGCTGGATCATGTAAGGTCCGGCCTGCTCCCATATATTCTTCAGGGCCCGGATCCGCTGCCAGATACAACCAGTTCAACATCTCTTGTGCAGTGCCACAAGACGCCAATTGGGAGAGAGTTGCTGGATATGTTACAGGGAAGGATGAACAATTTTAGAAGCTCAAGTGATAGGTTGGCCGGATTGGTTGGGCCGATTGATGAACTCACAAGGGCTGTCGCATCCTCACAGGCACTCATTGACCGGTTGAACACAGATGTCAGTGCATAGTGCATCCTGGGTGCAGTCAAGGACAACCTGACATCTTCCAGCATCCGGTCAATATGTTATACTATTATATGTTACTGTCATATTCACTGCAATGTAAATGAGAAGCACCGGTTTTTGTCTTTGCAATCAGGCCGTGTGAATGTGAAACTATTTTCTCTAACTGCTATCTCTCCAGCTATCATTCAACAGTGGTGTTTTTCCATCACTCATTTGGTTTTCCAGACATGGTCGCAATCCCACTAGACTGGGCTTTGTATCAGACCTACCTTGCTGGTGAATTGGTTCATGAGATTTTCATGTCCACAATTCATCAACGACCAGCAAAAAACATGAACCTTGGACTCTTGGATATTGACACTTGCATTGCATTAGAGCATCTTGCCAATGTGATGGCCTCTGCATACTCCAATGCCGGTAGGTATGCCGGTCCATCGCCACATTCTGGTCAACTAACCACCATACAGTTCATCTCAAAATAGACATGGTCAGATACAATGATGCCCTGGACAAAGATGAATCCGGTCAAAGTGCAAAACGAGAGCAGACCCTCTTTGACAGATTCCCCCCCGAACAGGAGCATTTCTTGACAACACCAGCCGTCGTCGTCAATTCCGGAGGTAGAATCATTGTCTGGTATTTGCCTGGAGCTATGACTGCTATGATGATGGTCAGTCTTCCATTGATCTTCATTTGAATTTCAGCTCAGCCGGACATACATAACAGCAAGATATGCATGGTGCAACGCATTCCATGAGTGATTTATTGAAGCACAGCATAACAACTGGTAGGACTGTTGAATGGAGGACCCATCGGTCTAACTTTCATCCAAGTCCGGACTCAATGTTGGCTTCATCATGTCGCCTGGTGAGACATTACATGAATGTTGAAGAAGGCAACCGGATTGTCACTGCGTGGTACATGCGAGACAGCATTCACAACTTTGTTGGGACTCCAAGCACAGAGTATGCAAAATATAGCAATGTAAAATTCAGTGACCCAGTGGAGATGGAATGGGTTTGAGGACTCTGGGTCAACGGACTGTAGATATTTAGACAAGTGATGTCATTCAAAGATATATTTCCGGTAGATCTTGTTTTGCTATACAATGGATCCCCCGGTTGTTCTATGATGGATACGCCAGTTACTGTATGGATGTACCGAATATGGTTTTTGCATGCATGCACCGGTCTCCATTGCACCCCACAGTACCGGCCCACCCGCCTCCATTGCACCCCATAACGCCAGCCCACCCATCTGCATTGCACCCAGTAGCCCCGGCCCACTGGTCTTGATTTCACCTGGTTGACCAGCCCACCCGTCTCCACTGCACCCCATAACCCTGGCTCGATTTCACCTCATTTACCGGCCCACCCATCTCTATTGCACACCACAATGCCGGCTCACCCATCCTGATTTCACCTGGTCAACCGGCCTACCCGTCTCTACTGCACCCCGTAGCCCCGGCCCACCTGTCTTGATTTCACCTGGTTGACCGGCCCACCCGTCTCCACTGCACCCCATAGCCCCGGCCCACCTGGCTCAATTTCACCTCCTTTACCGGCCCACCCGTCTTGATTTCACCTGGTTGACCGGCCCACCCATCCTGATTTCACCTGGTCCACCGGCCCACCCGTCTCCACTGCACCCCATAGCCCTGGCCCACCCGGCTCAATTTCACCTCCTTTACCAGCCCACCCATCTTGATTTCACCTGTTCTACCGGCCCACCCGTCTGCACTGCATCCCGTAACCCCAGCCCACCCAGCTCGATTTCACCTCATTTACCGGCCCACCTGTCTCCATTGCACCCCGTAACACCAGCCCACCCGTCTCAATTTCACCTCATTTACCGGCCTACCCATCTCCACTGCACCCTGTAACACCGGCCCCCTCGTCTACATTACATTTCATCTTCCGGCCCACCCATCTCCATTGCACCCCATACGGCCAGCCCACCCGTCTCCATTGCACCCTATTCCCCGGCCTCCTCGTCTCCATTGCACCCCATATGGCCGGCCCACTCGTCTCCATTGCACCCCATTCCTCGGCCCCCTCGTCTCCATTGCATCTCATCTACCGGCCCCCTCGTCTCCATTGTGCCTTATTTACCAGCCCACTCGCTATCACACACTGGATTCACCACCATTCATAATCACCTATATAGTACATTGCTATACTACCATGTATACTATATACCCCCGGCCCATCTGTTTGCCTCGGATACACCACACCCTCGGCCCACTCGTCTATCACGGTACAATTATTGCCACCGGCCCACACCGGATGGCTCGTCTCTATCGGTACATTGTCACGCCCGGCTGCCCATCTCAGACGGGTGAATTCACTGAAGGGGCTCCTTAGATATATTCTCTTATCAGGTACTACTATACTTATTACCGAGTCCGTTTCCCGAGACTGAGATATATATTCTCTTATCAGCTCCTCGCTCCCTCTAAGCCTCTCATCGCTAGACTGTTTACTATAGTTAAGTCGGGAGCAAGCCCCCCCGCATTTGAATAGGGCTATGTCCAACATATGGTCTACGACCCCAACGGACAATAAGTTTGAATTTAAAAAAAACAAACATCGGGCTGTTAGTGGCTGTTTTTCTTCAGCCTTCGACACCTTATTGATTTGTGCCTTCTCCTGCAGTCCCCCCCTCCCAAGGACCCCCCGTACAAAGACGAGGGAGCGTGGGACGGGTGTCCCTTCCTCGATGTAAGTTCTGCCTTTCGTCTCAATCACTCTTATCTCAATATGACTCACCAGTGTCCTGCAAATGTCCCGATGTCCCGCGATGTAAAGGTCGCTCCTACATCACACATCTTTTCGTTTAATTGATGCCTCTTTCGCCTGTAGATGATCGTGATGAAAGCACTTTCCCTCGGATCGTATAGGAGGGAAAGGTATCCCCTTAGTCATTTTACAGACTCATTGGTCAGTGTACATTCATTGTCGTATTCGAACTTGTCGGCTGCACACGACATGGTCTGCAAATTCTTGCCCAGTATATATCAGTTACAGCCAGCGTCTGGATTATTTGATGCTATTATATTGCTGTTATGCAACTATTATGTCTAGAAAAATATAGAGAGGATACGCGTATAGTATGCAAAGTAGAAATGAAGCACAGTCAACCAAGCCATTTAAAAATACGAGATTATCGTCTTCCAAGCCCACTCAGGCTCCATGCAACGCTCGACCGCACAAAATCAAATCTGCCCAATATGCTTAACACCAGATCACGGATAGAGGCCTGACTGAACGGCATCCATCACGCATACATATCATGTGTAAGGCTTACGAGGTTCAAAAGCTTCTTGGTGAAGCCAATGATCTCCAGCGCTCGCACGTCACGCACGTCACGCACTTGCGCACATGGCTGCAAAATGGGATCATCCGCATCAGAATCTCCTGCAAACACTTTGTGCTTTGTGATGGCTTCTGTAAAGAAGATCGCGTCCCTGATGGCCAGGTTCATGCCCTGGCCCCTGCAGGCGAATGTATGTAGGCTGCGTCGCCAACTAGGAAAATAGCAGCACCAAGACGCGTGAACGTGCGGTCAGCGATAGCTGAATGGGTCCTGAAACGTGTCGACCAGACCAGCTGGTCGACCTTGACGGGTGTCGGATTGAGGGACGAATCCGATGTTGTACACGCTGGGCCATACATGTCGATCAATTTCTGGACGTACTCCTTCGGTGGCGCATGGGGCGGGTCTCCGTTCTTCACCGGTACGGCAGAAATTATACGGAAGATGGATTTTGTGACAGGATTTCCATCGCACGTCAGCTCGGAATTAAACCGGTTGCCGAACGGTGTGAGCATCAGGAAACCGTCTGGGGAAATTATGATATTGATGTGGCCCTCGATGGTTAATAGACCGACAGGTTCGGGCTCGAACGTAACATCTGCACTGACCATTTGCGTCAGTACATGATTGCATAAGTCGGGGCCTTCTGGGTCAGAGAACCCTATGCCGGTGATGGTACGGATCTGGAGATGGTTGTCAGACATTCCACAAAGCTAAGCTAGCAGGAGCTAAGGTTTCACAGTTGAGTGGGCGCCATCTGCACCGATGATATACCTGGCTCTGACTATTTGGCCATCCTCGAACGAGACGTCGGTGACACGACGATCCTCCTCGTTCTGTTTCATGCCAACAACCCTGTGCGGGCGCTGCACTTGAACCCCAAGGCTCTGCAGCTTCTGCCCAAGCACAAGCTCCGTCACATTTTGAGGGGATAAGAGCACGTAAGGGTGGGCCGAATATTTCCCCAGAGGGCCAAATTTGGCCTCGAAAATCTGCGAACTCCGAGATGTGATTCTGATGCCCTTCCTCTTGATGACTTGAGATAGTAAGCCCTCTGCTGCATCGATGCTGGCTAAAGTCTGCCATCATAAGGTCATCAGTGGGCCTTCTTATGAACGCTCAAGTGCCACTTTACCTCGACGGTTGCAGAATGTATGGTAGTAGTCCGTGATATATTTTGTCCTTCAGCTATGGCATCAACGAGCTGCGAGACCGGCTGGGCCTGCGCCGACAATAAGCACGGTAATCCGTCTGTCTTGAGTGAAGTTCCAGGGTGGCTTGTTTGTTGAAGCGCGACATGGTTGCGAGAATCGTGAACAACAATAGCGACATTCTGCAATGGCTTGGGCAATGAACATTGACGTTTCACTGGAAAAGCTCGTCAGAATTAAGGTATCATAGAAGAGCCTAAGCGACCAGCTTCAATAAAAAAGGAACGACAAGCGTAGCAGAACAAGTAGGAAATACAATACAATGGTGGAGGGTAGAAGAGTTATGGATAGCTATAGATGAGATGATATAAAATGTCAATGGTACACGAAGACGTTTCTGCCCTATGGTTGATTATTTTCGACAGAGATACAACCGATCCAGAGCCAGAATCGCGTCCAGCATCCAGCCCCGCGTATGGTGATATCAACGTGCGAGGTTCCAGTCGCCGCCGCGGTAGTGGAGACTGCAGGAATTGCAGCTGATGTCGTGGCTTGCTGTGATGATGATGGTGGGGGTGTGCTCTGGGTTGCTCCGCCAGGAGGTTGCTGCATGACTGAGATGTTGGGAGGTCGAGAGTAGCTGGCTGCTTTCTTCCCTCTTGCATGATAGTTCCTCTGCGTGAAAACGTGTCAGTGATAAAAAGAATAGAGGTGGAAAAAAGCGTACAGGCAGGCCTGGGGCGCACGGGACGTCAACTACCGGTAGCTCTCGCAGCTGTATGTTCGATCCATCTTGTCTGCGTTGTCTGCTGGCCATGAGGTTTTTAGCCCAGCTACGAGGGTGGGATCTGGACGGGGTGTCGTGTTCGGTTGCTCCGCGTGAATTGGAGCGCCGGCGCATGAAGGAAGGTAATCGACTGAGGAAAGTTCGTTGATTTGGTGGGGTGGTGGCATTTCGTCCTCGGGAGGTAGAGAACTAATAAGATAATGGTCAAAGGAGACGTTAGATTACAGATGGAAATCACGTACATCGTCGAAAAACCCCGGGGGGCGTCGACTCGGACGAGTGCCTTCGATTTTTGAAGGTCGTGGCCGTGTAGCATCAGCCTAGTATGTGGATATTCAAGGTCGTGCAAAAGGTCAAGAGGCACATAGCATACATTAATGTTAAATTGCTTCTTGACTGTCTTCTGCGATGAATGAAGATGAGTGAAAAAGGCTGTTGAAGAGACATGATGCAACATACCACCTGAAAGGATGACCGGTTGTCAGGATGATTGAGGATGAAATGCACACAAGCTTACATTGTCTGATAGAAGGTGATCGAGGCCAGCTTCCTTGACGACATCAGAGACATCCCATTTGTATATGTCATTGTCGTCGCAGCCAGTGACGAGAAACCTTCCATCCACGGAAAAGGTCGCACACATCACCTCATCTTCATGGTAGAAGGGTTGTCCGATGGGCTGATTTGTTTCTAGGTTCCATAGTCGCGCTGTGTTGTCAGATGATACGCTTGCGAGGATGCGTTCATTCGGAGACAGTGAAATAGCAGCGACAGAAAGATCGTGTCCCTCCAGAACAGCGGTTTCGGTCCAGGTGGAGGTGTCGAATTTCCTGATCTGATAGTCTGGCGTGCCGGCGATATCGCAGTATGACCTGGCGATAAGTGTCTTTCCTTCCGAGATCCATGTCAGGCAGAAAACTACTCCCTCAAGTGTTTTGAGCAATTGGCCTGTGTTGGCATCCCAGACTTTCAGCTCCGTGCCTGTCGCAATCATCGTGCTATCGGGTGAGTAGCAAACCGCCCACACCCAGCCATCTTTCACTGCCTCGATTGGTCCGCGGATTACTTTTCCGCTCTTGACGCCCCATACTATGAATGTCCCACCGCCGCACCCGCTCACCACTCGCCCTCCATCTGGACTCCAGCACACAGACAACACTTGCTTTGTGTGCCCCGTCAATCTTTTGATGACCTTCCCTGTGTCAATTTCCCACAATCTCACTGTACCATCTTCACCCCCACTTGCTACTGTCTTGCCGTCCGGCGAAAGTGCTATGGCCAACACATATCCAATTCCCTCGTCCATCCAGGCCTTCCCGACCTGCATACCGCTCTCCAAGTCCCAGACTCGAAGTGTGCCGTCCAATGAACAGGTGATAATCTGCCGGTTATCGGGCAGCCGTAGGACGCCAGTGACGCCACCGGTGTGTCCTTGCATCTTTTGGAGAGGCTTTGTCGCTGATTTCTCTTTCTTTGCTGGGACTCGTGAAGACATGATTCTGGCTTGGGGACTTCACCTAATAGGAGTGGGACAATTTTAGCTCTTGCCCACCAAACGAACGCCATCGCTCACTCAGAGGTACTTGGTTTTACACAGAACACACACGCCCAGGACGAATCAAAGCTGAAACGGAATGGACTTATTGTTTGATGCTCGCTAGAGCTAGAGGGAGGTTGCTGTTCAAGTCCTGTACGTGTGCGTCTTCCTTGCTTTATCCTCATGTTCGCTTCACAGCTTGCTGTGTAGATCAAGCGCCCGAGTCACGTTGTCTGACACCCAGTTTCTTCATCGACATCGACATCTCAGTATCACATCTGGTAGTCCTGTTATCAAGCGAGCCCGCATGTCTATCGTTCTTCACCCACTCTTATCTCCATCGCCAGCAAGAATATCTCTGAGACTCGGAGACGTCCATCCGACTCCACCGCGTTGTCTTCTATAGCACGTGTCTCGCAAATCATCTCAGTAAGCAGTTCCCGTATCTCTGCAAACATCCCCCGGTTGACAACCATTTACCAGTATCGATACCTCAATGACTCAATCATCAAACAGAAACGCACCAGTACTATTCTCGAACATCTGTTTCTCGTGCGAATCGGGTATGTGCTCCGCACCATGAGCTCAGGCCATGTCTCACCATGGCATGAAGAAGACAGCGTCAACTTTAGACTGCCTACTGGACTTCAGGAAGCTGTCAAGCGCCATCCTTATCCGAGGGTCTATGCGCTACTGAAGAAGACTCTTCCCCTTCCTTGCTTCTCCGCGCGGAGCGGCAGTGCCTTCTCCATGTGTGCAGATTTCCTCCTTTCCGAATCTGCGCCACAGCCTAGATCATCACCGATTTACTGCTCTCGCTTCTCTCACATATCGGACGTGATTGTCCGATGTTGAGGCTAGGGGCTGTCGTTGCGATTGTGGTAACCATACTTACTAGAGCAGTCCTGTAGCCTCAACGTGCCCACTTCGAATGGTAATGTTTGCCCCTTTCAACAGTGCAATCAAGCTACCATGCGCTGACTGGTGTAAATTGCAGCTGATCAAGCTCTGAACACAGCCACGTGCAGTCTTCCTAGTCGGTACCACCGTTTGCCACGAACTATATCCACTTGTCTATTCGCAAATTCGCGCCTCGTCGCAAATGCTATGGCTGACCTCGTTCGAGTTGCCAGGACTGAGCACTTAAAACGCTTACAGCATTAACACTTACAGCTTTCTCCTCAAGACATTCTCACGTTGGCATTCTGTTGTGGTAAGTATTCAAGTATGACGGGCATGTTTTTCAGGGTGAAAACCCTTGCTGGCATGAGCAGTTGCTCAGTCGTTTCCAGCTGGTCGATTTGATTTCATGGAACCATCTACCGCGCTCTCGACACCCAATCTGATCATGCGTTCCTGTATACTGCAATCAAGTGCTTGCCTAACACAGAGCTCTCACAAGATTATCTCATAATGCGATATCTGGAGCATTGTCACTATATCACTGACGCTTTCTAGACTCTCCTACTCCACCAATCCACATATACACTAGCGCCACATATTCACCTCGTGTACTTGACACATTATGTTTCTTTCATTCGTTTCCTTGTCTTGCTCGCCACTGTCGGTTCCATTTGTCGCTCATTACTGTATTTAAGACGTCATGTATCCTCTCCAATCATCATCAGAATCTACCCAGTTTTCACCCTCAGTATTAGGCCAGGACACCTCTCGATCACCATCGTCATCGCTCGTACATCTATCCTAAACCAATCCCTACATTTCCCCTTGGAACTTGTCTTTCTCGACGTGTGGCGTCTATTGATATATTCGACTGCGTGGTCAGATAGTTGCTGCATCGACAAGAGCAACTGATATATCGACTCGGAAATATGCAGTGCGTGTTTGCTCTGCAGTTATTCCAATCGCACAGGTATGCTGTATGCTCCTCCTGTTTATGCTGTGTTGATTCACATTTTGCGTGTTACATCGTTTAGGACCAACAAGGACAACCTATCGACGACAAGCCGCTCTATTTTTTTTGGATGAAGTTGGTTGTTTCTCGTATGGTCCGTGAATATCATATGCTGATTTAGATCTTACCTGCAAAGATGGAAGGAAACATCCAAGTCTACGGAGAATGCTCCGCAGCCATTGAACTCTCAGAGGTACTATGCTCTTCCTGTTTTGCAGCTGTCTCAATTCACATTTCTGCGCGTGTAAGACCAATAATTCGGACTTCTCAATGGCAAACCAATTTGCCCTACATGCGAATTGTTGGATGTTAACTGCTTCTCTTTCATCCGTCCGTGGATATCGTGCTGATTTAGACCTTACCTGCTATAATGGACATGGCCTAATAACAAGCTGGGTCGGCTGATACCATGACTATGTTGGTTGCGCATGCACCATCGTGGGGATGTCTCCATCCATGGTTGAAGAAGTGGTCGACTACATACGCGAACTGCGTGCAGACCACAGGGCTTGCGAGTCCTCAATAGCGTAGCATGAAGTGGGTCAGATCCAGTGCGAGGTCCCATGCCTGAATCGTGACAGCGCTCTTGTCGATTCTAGTCATGCAGAAAATCTGTTGGCCCTGACTGAAAGTCTGAGTGCGGTGGACAGGGAGGGAGGCGGTGACCATCAGGGCAGTCGCCGCAACTTCGAAGCTGTGAACGTAGGTACACCGTACATGGAGTGAAGACTCGGAGAAATACTTGAAGTGGGAAGGTTTGGGCAAATCACCCTATTGATCTTGCGAGTATATCATGGATATCTTGATCAGACATGAGTTGGGTTGTGGGAAGGTCCAAACCAGATGGTCGAAAGACTTAGGAGCATTTGCTCAACAGTCATCGATCACAAGGGACGCCTGTATTAGCTCGAGTTTAGAAGATATAAACGTGGATTTACAAGCGGCGTTGAACTCAATAGGGGAGCTCCGAGTAGGCCGCTGTGATGCCACACAGCGGGCTACTCCGGGCTCCCCTAATGTGAAATCCTCTCATGGTTTGCTTGCGATAGTCCGAATCTGGGTGAGTGTCGTTTACTTCTCCTTCTTTCCTGACACTAGGATTGTAAAATCACTTGCAAGATCCCACAGTTGCATGAAGGAAGATGGCGAGCACTGAGGACGAATTCAACGAGGACCATCTTGATGGGGAGGTGCTAAGATTAATGACTTCGTGTCAGCTGAATGGGGTTGAACACTTGGTGTGAATCAGCGCTGTCCAGCTAACCTCAAACCTTTGAATATCGCCACTAACCTGAGGCTTAAGCTTGACCACGTTTTTCCGATGGTCCAGTGTTGCATGAAGTGGGTCAGACACAATGGCCGTGAAATACCTTGAGAGGATATCGCGGTAGAGTAAGCAGCGCAGAGAACGCATCTCTTTCGGATTTCCCCTGTTACATACTCGGAAATATGCGGGAGCTCTCGCCTCCTGTACATTTTTCCCGAGCGGGTACCTCTTGGGGAGCTCCCTTTGTTCTTCCAGGTATAAGTGAACGAATTTTTTCCTGTTCTATGGTTGTGTTTATAACAGTAATTACAACTGGTCGACGATCCGCTGAAAATAGATTGGCTTGTCGTACCACAAGCCGCACTGTTTTTTACTGTGACCATTGGCTATTTAAACTTTTTCTTATGATCTGTGGATGATGATGATGATGATGCTGATTGAGACCTTCACCTACCACAGGCTGAGCCCACAATCTCGACACCGAGTGTCGGCCGTTTCCCTTTGGTCTGTTGGTATCGATGTATCGCTCATGTCTGCCTTCCCCTGCAGTATGTCCGCAACGATGATATACCGCTTGTTCATACCACGATGGGGAATCGATGGTCATGGCCCACTCAGCATAAGCTCCATCTCAGCTCTCAACCACTCTCTCCTCAATATGATTGGCCAGTATCTATGATCCTGCACATCTTGGGATCACCCTGCCGGATGGTAAAATTACACGCGAACGACTCCACCACCGAGGCAAAAAAACACGGTCATGAATCGTGTCGGAGGGTGGTTCTATTTAAATCCACTCCTTTGCATTACGACCATCTGCAGTGCATTTCATGGTATATCGTAGAATCTTCACAAGGACAACGAAGAAGACGATATCAATAGACCTTTCCACGAGGCAGAGCCAGGAAGACGGCCATGAAGGAACTTTTGTCACTGAATAACCTTGAACTTCCCCATCAAAAGCTTGACCGACGCTCAAACTCTATCGAGAATCTGTCCAGCTCGTCGTTTAGGCTATGCTTAGGCTATGCAATGCCAACATACCGCAACAAAGGATGTCACCATGCGCCGGTTCTTGGCTAGTTCAGTATGCATTGCAATGCTAAGTATTGACATTCTGAGTTAATAGTTTTACAGTCGTTTCCCGTCGTGGGGCCGACATACCCAATGTCTCGCGATGTAAACTTAGGTTGCTCCTACATCACATATCTTTTCGTTGAATTCATGCCTCTTTCGCCTGCAGATGATCGTGATGCAAAACACATTCCCTTGGATCGTAGAAGTGGGAGAGGTATCCCCGTAGTCATTTTGCAGACTCATTGGTCAGCGTGCGTTCATTGTCATATTCGAACTTGTGGGCTGCACGCGACATGGTCCGCGTATTCTTGCCAAGTTTACCCCAGTATATATAAGTTACAGCCGGTGTCTGGATTATTTGATGCTATTATGTTGCTATTATGCAACCATTATATCTAGAAAAATATAAGGGGATGGGGATACGCATATAGTATGCAGAGTCGAAATGAAGCGCAGATCCTGCATGGACGTAGTAAGTAGCGACTCGTCACTCATGAGTTTGGACTGGGTCGAGCGGCCGTCCCACGTGCTGGCAACTAGGATGAAGGTGCAGCTCCCAGTGCCACGGAGGGCAACGTCATAGATATTATCTCATGCATGGGTCCTGTGTTTCGCGCGATGAAGCCAGGATGCTTTGAGGACGCTTTGTAACATATAGTGTATCAGCTTATCTCGAGTTTTGCGCTGTTTCAAAAAAGGATTACAGATTCAGATCTCCACGTGGCACGGAGTACTAACGGATCACCGACACAAACTCTTCAGATATCCCGATACTGAATCCACGTGGAATCCGTCTGTCTTGAGTGACGTTCCAGGGTGGCTTGTTTGTTGAAGCGCGACATGGTTGCGAGGATCATGAACCATAAACAACAATAGCGACATTCTGCGATGGCTTGGGCAATGGACATTGACGTTTCGCTGAAAACGCTCGTCAGAATTAATGTTTCGTAGACGAGTCATAGAAGAGCCTAAGCGATCAGCTTCTACAGTATGAAGTGGAACTAAGCTGGACCAACATAAGGGAATAAAAACGGAACGACAAGCGTAGCAGAACACGTAGGAAATACAATACAATGATGGAGGGTAGAAGAGCTATGGATCACTATAGATGAGACGATAGAAAATATCAATAGTATACGAAGATGTGTCTTCCCTATAGTTGATTGTTTTCGATAGAGACACAACCGATCCAGAGCCAGAATCGCGTCCAGCATCCAGCCCCGCGTATGGTAATATCAAGGTGCGAGGTTCCAGTTGCTGCCGTGGTAGTGGAGACTGCAGGAATTGCAGCTGATGTCGTGGCTTGCTGTGATAATGATGATGGGGGTGTGCTCTGGGTTGCTCCGCCAGGAGGTTGCTGCATGACTGAGATGTTGGGAGGTCGAGAGTAGCTGGCTGCTTTCTTCCCTCTTGCATGATAGTTCCTCTGTGTGGAAACGTGTCAGTGATAAGAAGAACAGAGGTGGAAATAAGCGTACAGGCTTGCCTGCAGTGCACGGGACATCAACTACCGGTAGCTCTCGCAACTGGATGTTCGATCCATCTTGTCTGCGTTGTCTGCCGGACACGAGGTTTTTAGCCCAGCTACGAGGGTGGGATCTGAATGGGGTGTCATGTTCAGTTGCTCTGCGTGAATTGGAACGGGGGCGCAGGAAGGAAGGTAATCGGCTGAGGAGAGTCCATTGATTTGGTATGGTGGTGGCATTTCGTCCTCGGGAGGTAGAGAACTAATAAGATGATGATCAAAGAAGATGTTATATTATAGATGGATATCACGTACATCATCGAAAAACCCTGGGGGTAGTAGACTCGGACGAGTGCCTTCGGTTTTCAAAGGTCGCGGTCGTGTAGCATCAGCCTAGTATGTAGATATTCAAAGCCATGCAAAAGGTCAAGAGACACATAACACACATTAATGTTAAATGGCTTCTTGGCTGTCTTCTGTGATGAACGAAGATGAGTGAGAAAGGCTGTTGAAGAGACCTGATGCAACATACCACCTGAATGGATGGTCCATTGTCAGTGTGATTGAGGATGAAATGTACACAAGCTCACATTGTCTGATAGAAGGTGATCGAGGCCAGCTTCCTTGATGACACCAGAGCCATCCCATTTGTATATGTCCTTGTTGTAGCAGCCAGTGACAAGCAACCTTCCATCCACGGAAAAGGTCGCACACATCACCATGTCTTCATGGTAGAATGGTTGTCCGATGGGCTGATTGGTTTCTAGGTTCCATAGTCGCGCTGTCTTGTCATGTGATACGCTTGCGAGGATGCGTTCATTCGGAGACAATGAAATAGCACGGACAAAACTGTTGTGTCCCTCCAGAACAGCGGTTTCGGTCCAAGTGGCAGTGTCAAATTTCCTGATTTGATGGGGTCCCGTGCCGGCGATAAGCGTCTTTCCGTCCAGGGTCCATGCCAGACAGACAACTTCGAAGTCGAGTGTTTTGCGCAATTGGCCTGTGTTGGCATCCCAGACTTTCAGCTTGTCCGCGCCCGTCGCAATCATCGTGCTATCGGGTGAGTAGCAAACCGCCCACACCCAGCCATCTTTCACTGCCTCGATTGATCCGAGGATTACCTTTCCGCTCTCGACGTCCCATACTCTGAATGTCCCACCGTCGCACCCGCTCACCACTCGCCCTCCATCTGGACGCCAGCACACAGACCCCACTGCCATTGTGTGCCCCGTCAATTTTTTGATGATCTTGCCTGTGTCAATTTCCCACAACCTCACTGTACCATCCCCACTCCCACTTGCTACTGTCTCGCCGTCCGGCGAAAGTGCTATGGCGTACACACTTCCACTTCTTTCGTCTATCCAGGCCTTCCCGACCTGCATACCGCTCTCCAAGTCCCAGACTCGAAGTGTGCGATCCCATGAACAGGTGATAATCCGCTGGTTATCGGGCAGCCGTAGGACGCTAGAGACGGAGCTGGTGTGTCCTTGCATCTTTTGGAGAGGCTTTGTCGCTGATTTTCCTTGCTTTACTGGGACTCGTGAAGACATTATTTTGGCTTGGGGACTTCACCTAATAGGAGCGGGACAATTTCAGCTCTTGCCCACCAAACGAACGCCATTACTCACTCAGAGGTACTTGATTTTACACAGAACACACACGCCCAGGACGAATCAAAGCTGAAAATGAATGGACTTATTATTTGATGCTCGCCAGAGCTAGATGGAGGTTGCTGTTCAAGTCCTGTACATCTTCCTCGCTTTATTCTCATCTTCGCTTCATAGCTTGCTGTACAGATCAAGCGCCCGAGTCACGTTGTCTGACAACCACTTTCTTCATCGACATCGACATCTCAGCATCACGTCTGATAGTCCTGTTATCAAGCGAACATCAAGCAGGAACGCACCAGTACTACTTAGATTCTTGAACATCTTTTTCTCGTGCGAATCAGGTATGTGCTCCGCACCATGAGCTCAAGTCATGTCTCACCATAGCATAAAGAAGACAGCGTCAACTTTAGACTGCCTACTGACCTTCAGGAAGCTGTCAAGCGCCATCCTTATCCGAGAGTCTATGCGCTACTGAAGAAGATTCTTCCCCTTCCTCGCTTCTCCGCGCAGAGCGGCAGTGCCTTCTCCATGTGCGCAGATTTCCTCCTTTCCGAATCTGCGCCACAACTTAGATCACCACCAATTCACCTGCTCTCGCCAAGACTCGCTTCGAGTCTATTGCAAGGATTACCAATCGTTTACTGCCGGAACATGCCGATACTCCTTCTACCGCAACCACAACGTCAACGCCTGGACCGTCTGTCAAGCACGATACCCGACCCCTTCATTAGTACCTACCTTTTCAATCAATGCCACTCGTTAAACCCTTACTTTCATCACCGCTTTTTCATTCGTAGCGCCACCAACCTAACAGCGACTCGTTTATCATTTCTCGCTTCTCGCTACTCCGTCAAATACGATGCCACTCCCTTCAGCTACCGCCTTTACCGATCATTAACTAAGCCCTTTGGCTTTATTTATACCCAGACGACCCGTCCTCATCCTACCCTATAAGTAGCCCATGTACATTCCTAATGGGCAGCAGAATAGAACAGTAAATTTCCCCAGAAGAACGTCCCGAAGAACTTATCTTTTCTTATCATCGTTATAACGCGCTCACTCCCTCTTATCGATTCATGATTGCTCTCGCAACCGTCGTCCTCCTTCGAAGCTAACTCTATACATTATCATTCCTTCAGCGGTCTATCTACCCCCTTCGCACTCGCATGACCTCTAGCTACGCACGTCGTATCTAACTTACACTATCTAAGGCTGCAGTGGATAGATATGACACTGAGTAGTATGAGCTACTTAAACCTTTATCGCTATAGCCCTTCTGCCATCCCGCCTTCCCACATCTCAGATGATTGCCCAACGTGTAGCGAATTTGTCACAACTACAACTTTGCTAGAGCACCTAGCATCATCATTCACCTACAGCAGCCTGAGCCTACAATCTCGAAACCAAGTGTCGGGCGTTTCCCTTTGGTCTGTCGGTATCGATGTAGCGCTGATTTGTGTCTTCCCCTGCAGTGTCCGTGACCACAATATGCCGCTTTTTTATACCACGACGTGGAATCGATGGTAGTGACCCACTTGGCGTAAGCCCCGTCTCATCTCTCCACCACTCTCTCCTCAATATGATTGGCCAGTATCCAGGATCCTGCACATCTCGGGATCCCCCTTGCCAGACAGGAAAATTACACACAAACGACTCTACCACCGAGGCAAAGAACACGCTCATGAAACTTGTCGGAGGGTGGTTCGATCTAAATTCACTCCTCTCTATTGCAACTATCTGCAGTACATTTCATGACATGTCGTAGATCATGTTCACGTGGACGAAGAAGACAGCTGCGAAGGACCTTCTGTCACTGAATAACCTTGAACTTCTCCTTCAAAAGCTTGGCCGCTGCTCAAACTCTCTCGAATCTGTCCAGCTCGTCAGCCCGCGCCATGCCAGGCTTTCAAGCTGTGTTCCACTAATGTGCCGCATTGAATGAGGGCAGCTGCAGTTTTCGTACTCTTATAGTGGGCCTTGACAGATATCCGATGTCCCGCGATGTAAAGTTTGCTCATACATCATACATCTTTCGTTGGACTGATGCCTCTTTCGCCTGCAGATGATCGTGATGAACGCAGGGATTTCCCCTGGATCATATAAGTGGGAAATTATCCCCGTGGTCATTTTGCAGACTCGTTGGTCAGTGTGCATCTGTTGTCGTTGTTGAACTTATCGGCTGCACACGGCATGGTCCGCGAATTATTGCTAAGTTTACCCCAGGGTGAGTTACAGCCAGCGTGTAGATTATTTGATGATATTATGTCTAGAAAAATAGAGATGGGAATATCATATGTATAGTATGCAAAGTAGAAATGAAGCGCGGCCAACCAAGCCATCTAAAAATACACGATTACCGTCTTCCAAGCCCACTCAGGCCCCATGCAACACTTGACCTGCACAAAATCAAATCTGCCCAATATCGTTAACATCAGATCGCGTATAGAGGCCGGACTGAACGGCATCCACCACGCATACACATCATGTGTAAGGCTTGCGAGGTTCAAAAGCTTCTTGGTGAAGCCGACTGATTTCCAGCGCTCGCTCGTGACGCACTTGCGCACATTCCTGCAAAATTGTATCATCCACATCAGAATCTCCTGCAAACGCTTGAATGTGCTTCGTGATGGCTTCTGTAAAGAAGATCGCGTCCCTGATGGCCAGGTTCATGCCCTGGCCCCCTGCAGGCGAATGTATGTGGGCTGCGTCACCGACTAGGAAAATAGCAGCACCAAGACGCGTGAACGTGCGGTCAGCGATAGCTGAATGGGTTCTGAAACGTGTCGACCAGACCAGCTGGTCGACCTTGACGGATGTCGGGTTGAGGGACGAATCTGATGTTATACACGCTGGGCCGTACATGTCGATCAAATTCTGGATGTACTCCTTTGGTGGCGCATGGGGCGGGTCTCTGTTCTTCACCGGTACGGCAGAAATTATACGAAAGATGGATTTTGTGACAGGATTTCCATCGCGCGTCAGCTCGGAATTAAACCGGTTGCCGAATGGTGTGAGCATCAGGAAACCGTCTGGGGAAAGTGTGATATTGATGTGGCCCTCGATGGTTAATGGACCGACAGGTTCGGGCTCGAACGTAACATCTGCACTGACCATTTGCGTCAGTACATGATTGCCTAAGTCGGGGCCTTCTGGGTCAGAAAACCCTATGCCGGTGATGGTACGGATCTGCAGACGGGTGTCAGACATTCCACAAACCTAAGCTAGCAGGAGCTGAGGTCTCACAGTTGAGTGGGCGCCATCTGCACCGATGATATACCTGGCTCTGACTACTTGGCCATCCTCGAGCGAGACGTCGGTGACACGACGATCCTCCTCGTTCTGTTTCATGCCAACAACCCTGTGCGGGCGCTGCACTTGAACCCCAAGGCTCTGCAGCTTCTGCCCAAGCACAAGCTCCGTCACATTTTGAGGGGATAAGAGTACGTAAGGGTAGGCCGAATATTTCTTCAGAGGGCCGAATCTGGCCTCGAAGATCTGCGAACTGCGAGATGTGATTCTGATGCCCTCGCCCTTGATGGCTTGAGATAGTAAGCCCTCTGCTGCATCGATGCTTGCTAAAGCCTGCAATCATGAGGTCATCAGTGGGCCTTCTTATGAACGCTCAAGTGGCACTTTACCTCGACGGTTGCAGAATGTATGGTAATAGCCCGTGATGTATTTTGTCCTTCGGCTATGGCATCGACGATAACGAAGTCACGACAGCCGTGGTGTGTTAGAGAAAGAGCAGCTGCGAGGCCTGGCTGGGCCTGCGCCGACAATAAGCACGGTGGTGTTCTCAGGTAGAGACATTATGTTGAGGAGTAAGAATGATGAAGTGACACTGACAATGAGTTAGTTCCAGATGGCTCTTGCACCTGGTATTTAAGGCGACCGATATTCAAGTTATGGGGATTTTTTATGGAAGATGGCTTAGTATTTTGCGCACCTGGTCGGCCGCTGAACGGAGATGCATTACAAGATAGTATCTGGAACGGGCTGCGACTGTGGAGAGATGAGTATTCCATAAGTCACCTGCTCCAGCGTGACTGAGGTTATCCGATCCTGCATAGACGTAGTAAATAGCGATTCGTCACTCGTGAGTTTGGACTGGGTCGACCGGCCGTCCCACGTGCTGGCAACTAGGATGAAGGTGCAGCTCCAGTGCCACGGAGGGTCATGTCATACATATCATCTCATGCATTGGTCCTGCGTTTCGCGCGATGAAGCTAGGACGCTTTGATGACGCTTTGTAATATATAGTGTATCAGCTCAAGTATCTCGTGTCTCAAAACAGGATTTCAGATTCAGATCCCCACGCGGCACGGAGTCATGATTCAAATATTCACGAACCACCGGCACATAGAGTTCAGATATCCCGATACAGGAACAATGACTTACCGTGTTACCGACGACCGCAAAAGCCCAGGCTGGAGGTTTAGAATCTGGATGCGATGATGATGATAAGAACCGGCTGTTGTCTACCCATCGGTCTGATGGCGTAGTTGGTTATCGCATCTGTCTAACACACAGAAGGTCCCCAGTTCGAGCCTGGGTCAGATCATCTTTTTTGTTTTTCGTAGCTGTGACTCTCAATTCCACCAGTGCACTAACGCTGACTCGTGTCACAGGGCACCAAGACTAACTTGAGAGTGTGTTACAAGCTGTTCTCTTTTACATTAAGATATCTCATCGTTGTTTCGGCCACCAGAACGTAAAATTTGCAATGCGGTCTTCGATCAACGTGCATCTAACTCGCGTTCAAATGAAGAGAGGACTGTGATGTACTTATTCAATACGGCTACTACCTCGACAAATTTTGGAATGGAGATCAAAGTGGTCCCTCTACAATCCTTGGACACGGCGTCGGGACGATCTGTATCATTTTCCCAGTAGCCACATACTCCGAAGGCAAAAAGGCTGTTCCACGTTGTGGGGATAAAAATGGCAGACAGCCCTGGTAAGATCTGATCAGCAAGTCTCATTCTTCCTCCGAGAAAGAGTTGACTCGCACCTCGCAAAGACAGGTATGGGTGGGTGGGGTATAGTAGGACGTTGGCCCTGTTTGGGCAGGTACACGTGTAAACATCGGTTCGTTGATCTTCTGCCCCTCGGACCAGCCCGTCGAGGGCTCGTAGGGGCGAGTTTCTGGAGTGGCAAGTTCCTCGCTCTCCTCTGGGAGAAAAGAACACGTAGAGCAGGTCGATAGTAGGCTAGCCCGTGACCAAGGCCGATTGTCGTCAACTCTCGCAAAGTTGCTAGGTCGTAAAACTGCCGGCGCAGAAGCCTGCTGAGGCCGAGGGGCTCCGTTGTCAGAGTAGGAGTCGGGTGGCGCGGAGTCGACAACCTCGACTTGGTGGAAGGTCATATTAGTCAATAGTGCGAAGCGCCTAGCGTAGCCACGAGCAGCTTCTCGTGTGTTGTCTGTGGTGGCACAGCGCTCGGCGTAGCTGGGGTAAAAGCTCTCAAGTTGGATAATCTCGTCTCTGAGTTCAAGAGCACTCATTCGTGAGTACGGATTTATGTCAAAGATTCGCTTGAGAATTTTGTTGAAAGATCTTGATATAGGAAGGACCTCGAGAAGGAAGTCGGCGTTGTCGAGATATCTCCAGAAGTCTGGATCCGAAGGCTCCGCAGTTCCCCAGGGCGAGCGGCCCGTGACCATGTTGACAAGAATAACTCCCAACGACCAGAGGTCCGAATAAATCGGCGAGTAATCAGAGCTCCTTGCCTCCGAATTGCATTCTAAGATAAAAAATATCAGATGAAGATCCCATGCAAATGTCAACATACCAGGACTTATGTACTCCCAACTTCCTACGTTAAATTCCCTACTGCGATCATCTGTGGTCGAAAGTCCGAAATCCGCAATACGAATGCCCGAGCCGCTTTCAACACAGAGGATGTTCTCTGGTTTCAGGTCACGGTGGTAAACTCCTATTTTATGGCAGGCATGTACGCCATCGAGAAGCTCGAGGAACACCCTCTTAATGAGCGTGACATCACCCTCGTACTTTCGCATCCTTATGGCGGTAAAGAGGTCCCCACCAGGGCAGTAGTCGAGCACAAGGTAGATGTATGGTCCTTCTGCAATTGTCTCGTGGAGACGGCAGATATATGGCGACGATGTTTCTCTAGATACCAAAGAGTGGGATACGATCTCCCGCCTGTGCCACACAAGACAATCTCGGGAGATGTTCGTATTTGGCAAGCACTTGATGGCATAATACACAGGATCGCATGGATCTGATTGAGTGTCGAGAGCGCGATAGACGGTTCCGGAAGCACCAAAGCCAATTAACTCAACCAGCTTGAAACGACTGTCGCCGACCGACTGACCAGACAAGTTCGGAATTGGGAGCCCCTCGCGATGAGAATCCATGGTTGTTAATGGAACGAAGCAGTTTCAAACGAGGCGTGAAGTCAAATTTAGTTGATGAGATAATGTGAGGCGGGGGTAGTTTTAGGGGAAAAGAAAGGAGCAGCATGATTTTATACCCTTGCACTCGGTTGTCTCACTTGTACCATGTCGGATGTTAGAACAAAGAACATGACATAGCCTTGATAGTAGCCGATAGATTCGACCATGATGGCGGCCATTGAAATATTGATGACTCATCAGGACTCCAGGTTCGGTTGAGGTTGAGGTACTCAACTAAGTTAAGTCTTTCCTAGGTATACGGACGTTACTTTGTGAGTAACCACCACCGCTAAATTATAGACATTCTGCTACACATGACCGTCTCATGTGACTCTATCTCATTTTTGTGTTCCTCCTCTCGATTGAACCAGAATGAAGCCATAACTCCCAACTTCATACATCCTACCATAAGGATCACCTCCTTCGACCCCGAATATCTATGCATACATGCCCCAACGAACGCTCCTCCCCACAATGCAGGGATATCTATAGAACCCATAAGTATACACACCAATCGAATACACCAAACGTACAAATCAATCGCCGATTGCGGCCCATCACCTTTCTGTCACTCCAGTTCCCAGTAAAGAGATACCGGTCAGTCACGAAATCGATAAACGGGGATGTGAGCATGGCAGTAGGAATCTCGTTCACACCGAGATTCCGTGCCATCGCCACTTGGAAACCAGCCGACGTCGCCAGGAGGAAGAGAAGTAAAGGTGCGTGTTTTGGCGAGATAGTGATGCTCCCAGAGTAAAGCAGAGCAGCTGAAATGAGTACGAAAACAGCCTGGATGAGTAAACTCAGGAGCATCCACCAGCGCTTCCTGTGCCCAAAAATATGTCCAACTTGGCCACTCAGGAAACCAAAGAAGAGGAATGATGCGAGGCTGGTGCCCGTATTGAGCATCTGGACATTCGCCGCACCCATCATCCCCACAGGGAGAAGAATTGCATTGCCCGTCTGGTTTGATGCGAATGTCTGGAAATCAGCATACGTCGTTGCATCTAGAATCCCTGTGCAGAATGCAATCGCTACGAGTTGTACAGGGAAGAACGTGGGTGATACCGTGTGCTGCAGGCGAATAATTGTGCGTTTGAACATTTCCTTCGCTAAGCTGACAACAAGGTGTCTTGTGTACTTGCGAGTGCGATACTGGTTAGTGGTATTTAACTGAAAACCGACGGCCCTACTTGGCTTTAAGTCTTATTGAGCTTACCACGCAGCCGACAAGCAGCTGCCACATCAATTCTGAATATAAGCCACGCGAAAGAAGATATCTTGCGCAGCCGAATCTGAAGGCAACATTTATTACTATCTTGTACGTCGATTCATAATTGAGGTGTTGGCTTGCTTATAATCGTTTCTTGAATTCAGAAGTCGACGCAGCTGGGCGATTCTGCTCACCCATCGTTGAATTCTGAATTTCGGCATTTTACAGGCGGGTCATTGTTCTCTATGACACCATAAATATTGTACGACGCAGTGGATATACGCCCCCGCCTTGCCCAAATTTTTCGCCTATCATGGTCGAGCTTCTCACACCACACAAGCGAGCTGTTCAGGCGATCCAGTGCCCGCGTTGACGATTTCCAAGCTCCACGCACTCGCTTAGATATTAGGCTTCGTTTAAAATTCTCTTCGACTATTCGCTAAAAGCTACTTTCCCATCCATCACAAGATTCTTGTTGTTGGTTCTTCTCGCGCTGTCCGGTTTTGAGCCATGAAACAGCACAAAACCTACTGAGGCTCGGTTGACGCACACTAATGGAGGCAACTGGTGCTACTGGGGATCGGGTGTGACACGTTTACACGTTCGGCCGATCGGCAGCAAACAGGTAGCTCACCATCATGACATATCAACTGAATTTCATTTATCCCTGCATGTCATTGCAGTGTCACCGAGTCGATGATAGTATCCACACTACATAGGAGATATGATATATTAAAATCTAACCCGAGTCCCACACTGTTCACCGCTAGCGTGTCCGACTCCGGATTGAACATAAACATCTTGGAAAAGTACATACGCATGGCGAAAAAAAAGGTGGGACATCTCTAGACTCCCAGACAAGGAAATGAAGTTGGGAACTGTACTTTGTGTGTGTGAAAACACCTTCGTCGAGCCAATGCTACAAGTATACAGTTGTTAGGTATTCGCGATCAAGGCAGATAATTGATTGACTCGGGGTGTTTGGGAAGTCAACCTGGACTAAGCCTACCCCATGTACCAATGTCCACTGACCGAATTCCTTCTCTGGGCCAGAGACACATTTAAGTCCAACAAGGTCGTCACGTCTGGGCGCACATGTCCAGCCAGGGATGGAGCAGACACGGAACCTCGACAGGATAACACCCGCTGACTTGCCCCGGACCCCTAGGACCTCGCGTGATCCACCAATGATCGGTGAGTAGTTGACGATTCCGAGAGCATATTAATATATGTCGGCACGCCGCAATATCTAATTGTGGTCTGTAGTGATGTCAGTTTTGACGGTTGGACATAGCGGGCAGTCGAGTGTGATTCGGACATCCGAAACACCCACGAACTCTTCCAGATGAAAAGTGAGAGGGAGCATCACTAGAGCCACTCGCAAGCCGAGGCTAGTCATAGTCATCTCTAGTCGCCCACCACCAAACTCCGAACCTTGGCTGCCCACGAAGCTCTGTGGCGACCGGGGAATAGCATCCGAAAAGTGATGTTTCGCAGCTTCACCCTTCCAGTTGAGGACAGAAGGGTTACCAGCATGCATGATGGCCTCGATGAGCCTGCAGAATGCGCTGATCTCCTCCTTCTCCATACGCGAATCTGCAGGCTGACATCAAATATTCCCATCAGCTGAATAGGCCAGCATCTTCGACCCTTGTTGTCTTGCACCTGGCTGCCCACGTCATCCGTTCGTCGACCCTGAACGGACCTGGCAAAAGCTCATGTAGGTCATCGACAGGAATGCCAGTGGCTCTCTGCAGAGTCTTCATGACTTCGGTCGGTGGCCAACTCTTGTCACTTTTATCGCGCGTCATGGGGATCCATTTCTTGTTGAAGACTTTGATATTGTCGGACGCAAGGAGTTCCTGCAGCGTCCAACCCCTCATTGATCCATTCATCATGCAATATATCTTCGATGATCACGCTTTCTGCCATATGAACGATGCAAATGGTCAAATTTTTGTACCACCGAAACATGGAGCGGATCGACTCATCGAGCTCAGTACTGCTGCTCTTGTCGATGCAACAGGTATCTGACCAAGCGAATTCCGTCTGGTATTCCCTGGCCTTCTCGCAGAAGCTCTTCAGCTTCTCGTATCCCGGACCTGCTGCTGTGCCCGCCTTCATCTCTCCGTAGGTTAGGCTCCCCTTTATCTAGCCACCGGTGAGATAGAATGGCGTACTTGACATGGTGTGGGGCATGATACAATACTGTCACTCCAGGGACTGAGCTCCGGAAGTGCTGCCTCACGTCATTACGCCCAACTAATGTCATATCCGATAGGCGTATCAAGCGGATAGGAATTTCGTTCATCACATGTCGGTCAAACCTTGTCGTGGTTGCTTTCCCGCTCATGACAGGTCACTACAGACAAACCGCAATGGATCAGTGCGACAAAATGATGTAGTATGAATACAAATCACCTGCGTGGAGGTCAAGAGATGTTCTAGTGATATTGTCGTGTGTGTCGTGTGCGTGAAGTAGTTGCAAAAGCTCCCTGCGCTCGAAGCCCACCAGCTACATATCATCAAGTGAGACATCTGCCATCCCAATTGCAGTCAAACCTTCACTCGCCTCGGGCGGTGTGTTTTAAAGATGGTATCAAGTCTAAGATAGTACGACGTCGATACGATCTATCAATCGTCAACCAAAAATGTCAGCACCTCAATGTTTGCAATATGTTCGAACGTCACCTCGAATGTCCTGGCAGTACGATGCAGAAGTGCTTCCGCAGTGTTATGAAGATGGCCTGCAATAAGTACACAATGATTTAGTCCAAATACCAGGGTGTCGTGATTTTCGTACGAGAGCGCTCAGGTTTAGAACTCGTGTCGAGCAAATTGAACCTTCTTGTTGACAGAATAGCGAGCTTGCTGCTTCTCAGATCTAGAGTTAGCCCATCAGATTCTAGATAGATGAGGCGTAAAGCCGAACAAAGTCCGATCATCGTTTCCGAAACAAGTTGACAGCAACGAACAAGGGAAGCTATGGATTATAATCGTCGGATAATCAAAACCATGGCAGATGGGTCTCTACGTACACAATACACATGCATATGTGGTGCATATTCGCAGTGGCTGTTCGAGGGGTGAAATTAACTTAACGCTGATTTGCACCTTTGCCAATTTACGTTAATTAGCAAGTAAATTTGACCATTTTCACTGTTAATTAGAGTAATTCTGGTTTCTACGACCATTCCTTCCAAGCTTTGCATCGGGGAGGGATGGTCCGGTCAACGACGGTGCACTGGCGCGAGCAGCTGTCGTTGTCGAAGATTTTTCAGCATGGCATGGCCTTTCGTCGAGGAAGTCGAAGAGATAGGGAGCGCGTAACTCGATATGTGCGCTTGCACCTGCAAGCGGGAAGTACGCACCATTAACCCCCTCAAATTCACTCAGGCAGTCCTCACTTCCCATTCAACAGGAGGGCCAATTGCATTCCTCCCAAGCCCACCTACATGCTCTTTTCCGCAGCTCGGAATCAAGCCAGCCACACTTTGACACGTAGTCCAGAATCCGCTCTTTGTTTTGTGGCATTGTCTATATGTTGTATCACATCCTTCGCTGGCATGCAACGAAGGATTTGGTTAGCTTCAGTAGGTGACTTTGTAGATGAACTTGTGGAAACAAGTCGTGGCCAACGACGAGAAACACTAGTACTGAAGAAATATACGAAACAAAACAGAACCACAATATTCTGGATTGCGAGACGACGACGACGGTAAAGTATTGCAAGCTAAGGGAAAGAGGTGTCTACGATGCAATGAACCATATGTGTAGGGCGTACGTAAGCCACCAGGCTTACAACTTGACAGCATTTGCTGACTCTTCTCCAACAGGTAGCATCGCCTCGAGCCTTCGAGAAGCAACGGGTGAGTCTTGGCACCCCCCTTCCAAGTGTCCTTCGCTTCTAACAAGTCCACATAGCGAGGATCTTTGTGATTAGCAAGCATCTCGCTATCCAACTTGGCAGGTTTTTTAGGCTTTGACGGCATCTTGTCTCTGCAACTGGCGCCAGAGTTGTTCATGATATCCTCCAGCTGGGGCAGCTATATTTGCATAGTGAGTGACTCATTTTTACTCATATCTCATGTTCGGCACTTACCCATACATTCGCAGATGTGTGTGCGAGTTCTGCGGCTGTGATAAGGTCATCCAGCCATTTCTCAAGCAATCCTAGCTCGCTCGAATGTCCATGCTTCCTGAAATATGATGTGAGTAGATCAACAATGCCCTCAAGACCTATGCCTTGCTCTTTGAGAGTGATGGGCCCATTATTGCACTGACCCAGTCGAATCTCGAGTGTCCAATTCAGAGCTCCGAATCTCGCCCACCTCTATAACATCCTCGTCGTTGGCAGTGAAGAAATCGAATTTGTAATCTGTCGATGAGCCATCTATGAGGGGTATAGGTGCCTAGGGGTTGTTTGAGGTAAAGTGCGAGTAATCTCAGTTTTTCGTGCGTTTCGGCATCCATGAGCAGGTGTCTGACGTTGGCTGCCTCAAAAATCGAGCGATATCCTGACATTCTCATTCAGGAAAGCGAAGGTGTCAAGCAATTCGGCCGACAGTGCTCTCGATCAAATCAACAGGTCATTTTGGACTCTTCAAATTAACATGGTAGATTAGCGCTAATTAGCATGCACCAAATTTACCGTACACTAAAGTTCAACGCTCTGACGCGGACGACATCCCTTGCCACCTCTCTTGCCACCCCAACCAACAAAGAAATCTCCTTGATTCTACCACGTATGCGTTGTAATCTGTGGGCTTCCTCACTCGAGAGGAGAGTCACCGATACCTGAACGAGTGAGTTAGCTCATCATCATCCTACACCGTTTTACGCAAGCTAAAATGTTGTACAAGGTCAACAGTCAATTACAACACTTCCGAGTCAGCCCCCATGATGTCTCCAGAAAATTCGCTGAACGAATTATGGAGTATGAAGAGGCATGGACCAACTTTCTGCACTCCACTTATCGTCCTATTTCGTCTGTAAAGTCAGGCGACTCAAGAGATATAACGATTGTACGGTCTTGGCGGTGAGAATTCAATCAGCAGGTCATGGCTCGGAAGCCCGTCTGGTAGGATCTTCGCAAGTGTGAGATCTATTCAAACTCACGTGTTGGCTTACAAGGCCCTATATCAACATCGCAAGTTCGTCTCCATATCCACAATAACCCGGACTTCTGTGCATCGGGAATCTGTCTCTAGCGTTTTAGACATGTCCAAACAAATACGTCTCGGTATTCTCACACCTTCCTCAAATACCGCGTTGGAACCCCTCACTTTCCAGATTCTTTCCTCCCTTCCAAATGTCTCCGTTCACTTCTCCCGTTTCCCAGTCACAAAGATCAGTCTCTCACCTGAGGGTCTCGCCCAGTTCGACCACTCAGTCATCATTAAAGCCGCTCAACTACTCGCCCATGCTGAAGTTGATATGATAGGCTGGAGTGGAACGGCAGCAGGGTGGATGGGATTCGAGAGCGACGAGAAACTCTGCGAAGCCATTACCAAAGCTACGGGTATCCCCACCACCACCTCCGTATTGGCTTTGAACAAGGCTTTAGATATTTTCAAGATCAAGAAGCTTGGACTGGTCACGCCCTACCTAGATGACGTCCAGGAGAGGATTGTGAAGAATTACACCAACTATGGGGTGGAAGTCACCTCGAAAACGGAACGTCACCTGCGCGTTGCGAAGAACACCGACGTTGCGAAAATCGGAGAAGATGCATTGGAGAAGATGGTAGGAGACGTGGTTGAGGGGGGTGCAGAGGCTGTCTCGACGTTTTGCACAAATCTGATAGCGGCGCACAAGGTCGAGCTTTGGGAGGCAAAGTACGGTGTTCCGGTGTTCGATACTGTCACCACGGTCACTTGGGATATGTTGAGGCAGTGTGGGGTAGATACGAAAGCGATCAAAGGGTGGGGGAGAATATTCCAAGAGGCATGATCAAATTGAAATAGTTTGATGCACTGCTGAAGATGTATACCATGAAATGTACGATAGTCACAATGGAAAGGAGTGAATCTGAATCGAACTCCCCTTGAGCGTGGTACTTGCATCGGTATGGCGTCGTTTGCGTGTAATTTTGCCTATCCCGAGATGAGCAGGATATTGGCTCGTATTGAGAGGGTAGTTGAGAGCTGAGACGGGACTTATAGAACAGAAATGTGGCTGAATACGAGTGCTCCGATGACACAGATGGAGAACTTCTTACAATACGATAGCTGAGGTGTAACGAAGAAGATCTATATTTCCGCTCCACCTGTGGCAGACGAACAATTACGCCCGGCAGATCCATTGTGCAAGCTGCGATAACCCACCCATTGAGATCGGTACCGCTGCTCAGAGGCTTGCTCTTACCGATGCAGCAGGTATCTAACCACGCAAACTCCATGCCATACTCCCTAGCCGTTCTCGTATCCCGTACCTGCTGCTGTGCCGCCGTTCTTCATCTTCTCGTAACTCCATCATCCGGTGGGACAGCATGGCGTACTTTACATGACTACGGGGGTTTAATCTCTTCGACAGAGCCAAGGACGTATGAAGCGGATTGGGATGTTCTTCCATCACGTGCCCGGTACACGCATCGCCGCCTCCCTCAAGTGGCTCATAACAAACGGCTACTAACCGAAAAAACGATCAGTTATTGCGCGATACAGTGATGCAGCGTTTTATACGACTCACCTGCATGGACATTGAGATAGCACGACATTATGCCGATGTGGCGCTGTACAATGATGTAGCATTATAAGACTTGCTCAAACTCAACCAGTTTCAAGACAATGCGGCAGTGGCTCACCTACAAATACAGAGGAATCGCGACGACAGAAAGTCAGCTCTTCTGCTAGTACAGCCCGCGACAACCCAACAAGTAACACGGAAAAGAAGGGAGACTGAAGAGCGATGATGCGCTTTGCGTATGTATCAACGTTCGAAGGGATGAATTCATCGAGCGCAGCATGCCCCACGCAAGGTGCAGGTTGGTTTACTGCTTAACAAAGTCCAAGGCAGGTGAGACATCTGGGCTCTTTCTCCTCCTCGGTTACCGCATAAATCGCGTGCTCGTGCTCCACGGGGCCACTGCCTTCACAACCGACTTCCTGCTGCATAGAAAGGAAAGACTCGCAGCCCCCTCAATTTTACCGTGTGCCTGAAGGACGATGTGTTGCTGATGTACGAAGGGTGAATTAAACGAATGATAGAACATGACGTTGTCAAAGTACCGCAAGGTGGGGTTGAGAGGAACGTCAGGTGGCAGGCAACAAGCACCCGTGCCATCAGGAGCCCCAGCAAGGGCAGGGAGGAGCAGAGTCTCTCTGTACTGGCGTATGCTCCAGTCATATGTTGCAGTAAAAGCGTGGTTCTACTTTCCTCGTCGAGGTCGACCCGGGGGAGCGTGCTACCGTCGAAGGACTTTTCCCAGTGGTAGGTGAGTGACGGAAAGTTTGTGGATGATATTAAGGGGAACTTGTGAATACGGGGCGGTCATATGCTGGAGGTTGGCTGAGCAGAGAGTAAGGGGGTTGGTGGATGCTGTCAAGCCAGGATCGTGGGAAGAGTTTGTGAGTCTTGATTATCAGATTTTGTTCCTCTTTTCTTTTGTTCTTTGCTTTCATCCATTATGGTTGCTAGTGAAAGATAATCTTGCTTTTGCACTGAATTTATCATACACTAGTAACCATAATATGGCCTTGTACAACCCAAGCGATTTGATCGAAGACCTGTTCCCAGCAGAGCAGGTTGGATCACACGGAAAGATCAACAGCGCCACGGGCGACTTGATCGTCCAATGTACTGTTTACTCATATGACAGACGACGCCTCGTTGGTGTATCTTCTGGCAACCATCTTCCACAAGACTGCTTGTACAAGCCTGAATCCAGTCGAAAAACGTGAACAGGCATGATTTAATCTCATCTGTGAGTTTCCAAGTGCTCAGCTTTCGATTCTGTTATTTTGCTCCTGATATCGCAATCTGATCTATTCATACCAGAAATTCTCCTGGAGTTGCCTCAGCGGAAAGCTCACTCGGGCAAATGTACTGCTCCCTTACTTAGGTTCCGCGCATGCTATGGCACCTGCACGCGTCACTGTTGACGCAATTGCTGACGACAAGCACACTCGTCTGGACCTTGAACAGAAGGTAAATACATGCCAACGGGTATGGGTTCCTTACATATAGATCATAGCAAAAAAAGAAATACAGCGACCGAGTAGCAAACTAGACGCCTATGTGAACAAATACGATCTGCTGTTCCAATGAAATCTTCTTCTTGCGCAACGTCTTCACAGCCTTTTGCAACGCTCCTGCAGCGCGCGTGCAATCCAATCTTCCTGAACCATCAACGAGGTTGTCATACGAAGCAGGAACGATCTGGCGTGCAACGTCGTCGTCGACAGATCACATGGAACCTACCACGCTGCGAAATCCGGAGAATTGCATCGCAGCAGCGAGATGGATAGCCTCATAAGGGCTCGAATCATCGCCCACGGTGGTGTGGCAAGCTGATAAGAATGCAAACTCCGGATTTTGCGACCGAGATCGGATGATCTCCCGGATTGTCAAAGGTCCGTCGCGCATTGCGAAGGAAGAATCAAATGGTTGCTTTCGATTCGGCATTCCATGGCAGGCTAGGTGAACCCACTGATTGCGGCTTAATGCATTGAATGCTCCCCTGACAGTTGCATTGCTGTCCGCGAGCGGTGTGAAGGACAGGACGGGTGCGACACACTGAGCAACTGAGGCTAACTCAGCAGCGACACATCGAAGTTCCTTTCCTGTATCCAGATTTGCTTGACCAATGGCAACAAAGTGCTGCACGGATGCATCTCGAGAAACCTGTTGCCTCGCGCGAATGAGCGCTGCCAAAGTTGGAGTGTACGAGGAGATGTAAAAGTGAGAAAAATTATGGCTTTTCTTCTCGTAGGGCCCCGCTGCGTGTAGAGGAAGCAATGTGAACTCAGCGGTAGGACACCACCAGATCCGTGATCCAGGGTGAACCAACACCTTGAGAGCTTGAGTCACGGGGCTAACAACACGATCCCAGAGCTCGCGTAGGACACCGACAATCTTGTGTGATTCAAGTTCATGATCAGAGGAACCGCCATGCTCTATGAGCGACTGGAATTCGGACGACAATTTAGAGACCTCGGCTTGTGTGATATCAAGTGGAACGTGGACAGGGTCTTTGGCACTCAGCACAATGAAGGCATCACAGTTGCGCAGGCCTGCATTGACAAGAATGACTGGTCCACCTTCCGCCGCCTTCTGGAGGTCAGAGAACAGCGGAGGCAGGAGAAACCGGGAAAAGTCAGGCAGCATGCGGATGCGGGAGATGACATCATTCCATTGCATGGTCAGTTGCCGGATCTGTGGGGATTGGTCCTTGGTAGATACATCTAATACGCCACGAAGGCGAACACTGAGTTGCCTGAACTCTTCCGCCAAGGCTTTGCCGGTGTCACCTGACGCGGAAAGTTCATGCAATGGTGTGGAAAAGAGAAGAGGTGTTTAGCCCAGTTGCGAGGGCGGGATTGAGACCGAGTATCGCGCTCAGTATCTTCGCGTGGATTGGAGTGGCGGCGCAGGAAGGAAGGGAAGCAACCGAGGAGAGTGCGTTGGCGTTTTGCTGTGGTACTACGTTCACTTCACTTGTGCGAGGTAGAAAGCTGATGAGAAATTGGTCAAAATTATAGATCGAGACACGTACATCATCTAAAAATCCTGGGGGTAGTCGACTCGGACGAGTATTTTTGATTTTCGAACGTTGCGGTCGTGTAGCACCAGCCTAGGACGTAGATACTAAAAGCCATGCAGAAGGTCAAGAAATAGATAACGTACATCATGTCTGTTAAATGGCTTCTTGGCAGTGTTCTGTAATGAACAAAGACGAGTGAATAAGGGTGTTGAAGCAGCGTATCACTTGAAAGGATGGGTGAGGATATATGCAAGCTTACATCGTCTGACAAAAGATCATCGAGGCCAGCTTCTCTGAGGATAGCAGAGACATCCCATATGCATATGTGGCGGTCCTGGCAGGCAGTGGCGAGGAGCATTCCATGCGTTGAAAATGCCGCGCAGTTCACGTAGTTTTCTTAGTGGAAGGGTTGTCCGATCGGTTGATTAATTTCGAGGTTCCATAGTCCCGCGGTCTTGTCGTCCGATACGCTTGCGAGGATGCGCGCATTCGGAGATAGTGAAATAGCATTGACAAGATTTTCGTGCTCCTCAAGAACAGCGGTCTCGGGCCGGGTGGCGGTGTCGAAGTTCCTGATACAGGGTGACCCGGCGGTGATAAGGATCTTTCCATCCGAGGTCCATACCAGGCATCAACCCGCTTGTGCTGGGCCCTGGCCCATCTGTAAGCCAACGGGCTTACCTGAGTTTCCATAATCAGCATAAATACTGTCCGCGATAATGAAGCGTGAGCTTTCATTATCACTACCTTTTGGCGTAACGGTTAAACGTTAAGGGACAACAGTCTTGACCTACTTACAGCATCCCAGACTTTCAGCCTACCCCCGTCCATCGGGTGAATAGCAAACCGCCCACACGCCCGCGTCATTCCCTATAGCTACAGCCTCGATGACAAGTTGTCTCTACCCTCTTAACATCCCATACAATTAATGTCTTGTCTCCGGATCCGCTCACCACTCGACGACCGTCTGGACACCGGCACACAGACCTCACGTTCTGTGTGCCCCGTCCATTTTTTGATGATCTCGCCCGTGTAAATGTCTCACAATCTCACTGCCCCATCCTCACTTCCGCTTGCTACTTTCTTGCCGTCTGGTGACAGTGCTAAGTGCTATTGCGAAAAAATATGCACTTCCTTCATCTTCCCAGGCATCCCCGACCTGTGCTCTACTCTCCAAGTCCCAGACTCGAAGTGAGCCATTCAATGAATAGGTGACGATAGGCCTAGGACGCCATAGACATAACTGGTGTGACCTTGCATCTTTAGCTGAGGCTTTGTCCCTGGTTTATCTTGCTTTGCAAAAATAGAAGGTCTGTTCACGCACGAGTCTGCGCGTTCGCCCAAAATCGACCGGAGATATAGGCAAGCATTTATTTCTGTCTTCTACGTTACGCCTCAGGTATCTAAGTCTCACAAAAGATGTTCACTCATTAGAGCACTCTTGTGCGCAACCACACTTATGTTTCATTATTCTACGGCACACTGTCGTCGTGAACTTATTGTTATAGCTGTCGTTTAATTACCATTCTTCCACACTTTCCAATGTGCTTACACATTCACACTCCTACCTTCCACACTTATGCTTTGACCTTTCGTCTGGCATATAAGCCGCCGTGTTTTTTCTCGGATCATCATCGAGTTCACTCACATCATCTCTCACTGCTTAACCTATCAAAGTATCAAAATCTTTTCAACTTTCATAACCATAGACAAACATGCAGGTAAGTTTTTCCTCTCTTCCCTTGTTTGACTTTACACCTGACGCGTTTTTAGAACACCTCTTCATCCAAAACCCCCCATCGATTTTTCCTCTGCGCATTCCCTGACGTGGGATTTTCCCCTTTGGTTCGTCAACTTCCTGATGACTGATGACTCCCCTCACAGCACGTTTCACCATCCAAACGAAAGGAGCGATCCTGTTGCCCTGCCTTCGATTACAACACGTTCTTCGATTTGCCCAGGCCTGTTGTTGGCGTAAAGGGTCCTGCTTCCGCCGACAAATGAACACGAGGGCTTACGAGCTACCATGGTCATACTTCCTTGATTTACGGATACTATTTCCTTTTCTAAATGTCTCATGCTACTTGCGGTTTCAACACTGTACGCATTGTACGAACCCTATCTCTCTCTGAGATCTTACCTCGTTATTTGCATTGAACCCATGTTGAATGAATCACAATCACATGCCTAGGATTTCCGAAGCTGATTGAGTTCCAATCTAACCATGCGTGGGTAAAACACCCGTGAAAACGAGCCCTCTGGGGCTGATTTGAGCTGTGCTTATTGTTCCACCAAAAAGCGAAAAAGAAATTACAGTGTTCATTAAATCCTATTCATCTCACACGCGACAGATAATAAGCGCACAGAGCTCCGCGACCTTTTCACTCCGTGCCTGCAATGAAAGTGTATCGCTGTGGTGGCGGGAGTTCCACCGAGGTTTTCTTTGGTGGCCGATAATGGTACTGTAATTGCGAGAACAGGAGAACTGAGGTCTACAGAAAGGGTGAGGAAATTGTTGAGAAAGCATCTATACACAGACTTACGCAGATGCTGACGAGACAGACATTCATGAAGTAACCTGCTATATCTAGAATTATACATCAGCTGCGCTTTCCCGAACAACATGGCTCTTGAAATACCAATGAAAGCGCCTGATTTATTTTTGTTAGGGTAACCAAATTCATGGGCAGGAGCTACTTACCAAATGGCGGAGAATCTGGCATACTGGCCCTAATCTGTGGAAGAGCAAAAAGGACTGAAAGATATCAGTGGCGCATCTATCAATTCTCTGCAGCTCGCACTGCACCTGTTGTTGAAGCCAAGATAAGGCCGTCATTAATGTTTGTATGGAACAGCACCAGGATTGTCATCCACAAAATGGTGACAGAGAGGACCCCTGTAGTTCGATTAGAACGGGGCCACCATGCACGCTAGGTGACTCACAGTTTGTGACAACCAGGACGAGGGCGAACGCTCGGACCATTCTTTGTCGCTGGAAGGTTAGGGCTAATGCATACAACGTCTCGTCCCCTACTGTAGTCGGGTAAAACACACTAGTACCGATCCAATTCACCATACTTCCATATCCAATCACGCCAGATATCGGCAGTGATGTATTGCTGTCAGTGTCGATGACTAAGAGCGAAGCATATGCAGAATACCTGCAAAGAGTCAATCATGCCAATAAGCAGAATAGAACAGTGCCCTTACATATCAAATGGGTAGTAAAGAGCTGATGCTTGCTTCTGCAGCGTATACGGAAGAAAGGGATCCATAGGCAGATCCGTAGCATAATCTTGTGCTGGTAATTGCCTCGAAGATGCTTGATTCAACGTCCGTGGCAGATGTGGATTAGAGCTCACTCTCTTCCAGGTATGTATGCCACTGGCAGAGGATTTTGGACTGGTGATGAATCAAAAGTGCCTATCGGGGCCGTTGTGTTCCAATTTACAGTGGCATTTCTAATAAGAAACTCGTGTGAGGTCAGGCACGAACAGCGAAAGTCTGCTCACTCGTTCAGATACAGGGCAATGTTGTTGACAAATCGATTTTGAACACAATCATCGTTTGACGATCCTGTGAACTGCCGTCCGCAAGCACCAACAAGAGACCAGCGAACCTGAAGGCCCTTAGAAACGAATGTACAGATGTCAAGATGATACTCACAGACAATATTTGCCCGTTCAAGTCGATCGAGAACATGTCGGCGAGCCTGAAATATGTCAGATTTTCCTGTAGATAAGAACAGAATATTCACAATAAAAGCTGGGCTTCGGGAGTTAGTGTGAATCCACTAAAAGCTCATGGATACAGGACTTACACCGGGGGATCCGCTGACCTGGAATTCATTCAACGTAGAATTATCGACACTTACTCGAGCCCCGAAGTTATCGTGAGTCAGATAAAGCTGCGTAAGAAAAACAGAGATCCCTGCGAGCAAGGCAGAGACGCCTGCTAAGGTCGCTATCGGACCATAATGTATCAAGATTGGGTTTCGTCCTATTATCCGTTGTAGCCAGAGTAGTGGTGGCATACTTGTTCTCGAGGGTGAAAAGTCACAAGTTAACTGATGCCGGTGTCTGACTATGCAAACTCACTTATATATATATAAGCCATCTATCGCTCCCACAACCTTCAAACCATGCCGTTGAGCTTATCGTGAACCTGAGAGCAGTAAGCTCAAACAAGTGCTTATGTATTAGGCGAGCAGAACCTTATGGCGTGTACCTGGTGCGCGTCTTTCATCTCATTTTCGCGTTCGCTCGCTCCTGTTTTTTTTCTTTCTGGTAGACACCTTCCCGAGAAGTTTTCACTGATATCTCGCACACCAGTGGGTGCACCTCTTTTTGCTGCATGGCTTTACGAATATGTTCTTTCGAGCGACTGGTGAGCAGAATGTGGAGAATGGGCAGACCAGGTTCACGAAGAGCTTGACCGGGGAGGGGGGTCAGATAAGCAGACTCCGGTTTTGAGGTGCATTCATCAAGGGCGTCAACGACGAGTGACAAAGGCGGACGCCCGCGAAGTCTGAGATGAAGCCTCCGGAGAGGTCGGGAAAACAACGCGTTTATCTAGTCACGAAGAGACATCTCAGGGTCAAGAAGTGCGGAGTTCTCGTGAATAGCTGCGTCGACTTCCTCTCGGACGTTGTGGAAAGTGCTGGCAAGCTGATAGGAGTGACGAGTCATTGGCCGATGTTGATGCTGACAATAGCAGAGACATTCCATGTGTAAATGTGGTTGTCATTGCAGCCAGTTGGCGAGGGACTTTCCATCCGCAGAAAAGGTTCACGCATCTCACCATATTTTCATGGTGGAGGGGTGGTCCGATGGGATGATTAGTTTCTAGGTTCTATGAGTTGCGCTCATTCGGAGACGTGGCCGTCGAGAACAGCGGTTGCGGTCCAGGTGGCGGTGGCTGTGTTGAATTTCCTGATATGGAAAACGCCGGCGATAAGAAGTCTTTACATGCTAAGTCCATGCTAGATTTTCAGAGATTTTCAGCTTGTCCCCGCCAGTTACAACCATTGTGCCATTGGGTGAGTAGAAAACTGTTGACACGGAAATATAGCCGTCATTCCTTAACTTGATATCTTGGCCCTTGAAGGGTTGTCTCTCCGTTCTCGACATTCCCGACACTGAATATTGTATCACAGGACCCAGTCGCTGCTCGGCACTCACCCTCCGTCTGGACTCGAGCAAAAAGACACCAGTGACTTCCCTTGTGTTCCCCGTCTATCTTTTTATAACATTGCCTGTGTCAATATCTCACAATGTTACTGCGCCGCCCAACTCTGGCTTGCTATTTCTTGCCGTCCGACGACAGTGCTATGGTCGACGCTCCTCCAATTCTTTCGTTCTTCCAGGCATCCCCCCAAAGCAGCGGGCCGCATGTTTAGCATTCCTTTCGTCAGATGCCAGAAAATGCGAAACCGTGAATTATGATAAACTGCAGGAATTTGAAACAAACCGTGCTGTCTTTGATGAAGAGTTCGATGACATTCGTGGTGCCTTCCTCTGGTCATAACATGTTCAACACAACATCATCTGCACTAGCACTGATAAATCTTCCAAAAGCTGGTAACCTGATCGTATATACTTGTTTCCTGGGCATTGTAGCCAACGAACCCAGACATTATCTCCCAATTTATAAGACACGAGTCGTCCACCCGGCCTCGGTGGTATAAGCTTCTGTGATAGTCTGGGGATCACTGGACGCCTGAAACCCGATCCTGAGGGATCCCGGTTGAATTTGTGCATACAAACACGCGGAGTCCTTGACTGCAGTGCCAACGACGGCACCTTTTTGCCATGTGGTCGGACTACCGCGATCACTATAGACCAACTCCTGCACATTATTCGCTGTAGTAATGTAATATACGCGAATCTGTTTTGGAGAAGTGAGAATGATGATAGCACAAAACGGCTGACCCCGAAAGCTCGCACTTCACGGAAGTTGTCCCACATCAAGGCTGCGATGGGTGTTCCGACACGGGCAACGGGCGCACCGTTGCCGATTGGTTGCATAGGATAGCCCAAGGTACTTGTCACGATTTCACAGATCTTGTAGTCTTCATTCTGAAAGTAGATGCGAAAGGATCCGCTCTGGTCCCCAATTCCAGCCATAGTGCTCATGAAGTTTGTAGGCAGAATGCGCGACAGGACTGTTAACTCAGACATCATTGCTGCAATCCGTGAAAATGAATACAATTAACTATGGATGTGCTGCTGATGGCGGCTCACTGTTATCGATTCGATGGCCGTTAAGTTCAGGAGGCAAAATGCTGCAGCTCTCGAGTGAATAGCTGTTGGAATCAGAGGATACGAATGAGCGAGATACGAGCGCAGTACACAGCATTATCGGTCAGGCCTGTCAGGATTAGCAGTGATACGGACCATGGACTATTGGTCAGCATACACAGGTACATAACGGACCCGGTAACATAGTATTAGCGTATCGTAGTATAAAAGATGGACGAAGACGAGCAGACATCTCAGTGCAATAGACTGAGATGTGAGTATTCATTGATATTAGACACTTACTTTACTAACTCGTTACTAGTTACTTCTTAGAGTCCAATAGACTGAGATTTACTTCTTACAGCTCCCGCTCTGTCATAACCTACTAAAATAACAACTTCAAGCAGAACTGATGAACCTCAGCGTAATGGAAAGTGGAAATAAACGAGATCCTACTTTGTCGTTGAGGACATGATTACCGCACTGCCAATTAACTCCTGCTGTCAATGAAAACGTGTTAGGATATTGTCAGTAGGCTGTGGCATATATTTTGTATGCAGAACCAGGGATGCTTGCCAAGTCCAACGATGAGGCAGTCATGGTCGTCCTATTATAGTAATGTTTGTGATGGAACGCGAAAAGCGGTGAGCACCATCATCAATGCGACAGCGTGAGAGATGTGATGCTCGCGGCAACTCGATCAAAAGCCATTGGGCGAAGGACGATAACAGGATATTAAAAGCAAGGCCTCCCAGAATGGTGGCAACTCACTGACAGTCAGGGGGCGGTCATTTATTATAGAAACACATTGTAGTACAAGCTTGAAGTGTTCATGGTCCCATTCATCTTACACGCGACATACAATAAGCAGACTTGCATGTGCGCTTGTGGAGCTCCGCGACCCATTCATTCTGCGCCGACAATGAAAACGGCTCGCTGTGATGGCGGAAGTCCCTCTGATGTTGCGCCTGGCCGGTAACGGTACTGTAATTGCGAAAAGAGGAGAATTGAAGTCTACAGAAGGTGTGAAAAAATTGCTGTGAAAGCGGTGTGTACGTAGACTTACGCAGATGCTGACGAGACAGACATTCATGAAGTAACCAGCGATATCTAGAATCATGCATCAGCTGCGCTTTCCAAAACAACTTGACTCTCGAGATACCGATGAAAGCGCCTTATTAATTTTGGTTAGTGACCAAATACACAGGCAGGAGCTACTTACCGAATGGCGGAGAATCCGGCATACTGGCCCTGATCTGTGGAAGGGCAAAAGGACTGAAAGATGATGTCAGTGGCGCATCTGTCAATTTTCTGCGGCTTGCACTGCACCTGTTGTGGATGCCAAGATCAGGCCATCATTAACGTTTGCACGGAATAGCACCAGGATTGTCATCCATAAAATAGTAACAGAGAGGGCCCCTATAGCCCGGTTAGAACAAGCCGACCATACACGCTAGGTGACTCTCACAGTTTGTAACAACCAGGACGAGGGCGAATGCCTTGACCATTTTTTGTCGCTTGACGGTTAGGGCTAATGGATATAATGTCTCGTCCCCTACTGTAGTCGGGTAAAACGCACTGGTACCGATCCAATTCACCATACTTCCATATCCAATCACGCCAGATATCGGCAGTGATGTATTGCTGTCAGTGTCAATAGTCAAGAGCGATACGTATGCAGAGTGCCTGAAAGGAGTCAATATCGCCAATAAGAAGAAGTATCAATGCCCTTACTCATCGAATGGGTAGTAAAGAGTTGATACTTGCTTTTGTAGCGTATACGGAAGAAAGGGGTCCATAGACAAATCTGTATTATATTCATGTGCTGGTAATTTCCTTGAGGATGCTCGAATCAACATTCAGCGCAAATGTGAATGAAAGCTCACTCTCTTCCTGGTATGTATGCCACTGGTGGCGGATTTTGGACTGTTGATGCATCAAAAGTGCCTATTGGCGTTGTTGCGTTCCAATTTACAGTGGCATTCCTAATAGACGATGTAAGATCGAGCTCAAAAACGTGAATGACCGCTCACTCATTCAGATACAGGGCGATGTTGTTGACAAATTGATTTTGAACACAATCATCGTTTGACGATCCTGTGAACTGCCATCCGCAAGCGCCAACAAGAGACCAGTGAACCTAAAGGTCCTCAGAGACAAATGGACGAATATCAAAATGATACTCACAGACAATATCTGCCCATTCATGTCGATCGAGAACATGTCAGCGAGCCTAAAATATGTCAGATTCTGCTTGTCGATAAGAACAGCATATTCACAATATAAGCTGTGCTTCGGTAGTTAGCGTGAATCCACTGAAATCTCATAAATACAAGACTTACACCAGGGGATCCACTGACATGGAAAATATTCAATGTGATATTGCGCACGTTTACTTGGGATCTGAAGTTTGCGTTCAGATAAACCTGTGTAAGAAAAACAGAGATCCCGGCGAGTAAGGCAAAGATGCCTGCCAAGATCGCTATCGGACCATAACGTATGAAGACCGTGTTTTGTCCTATAACACGTTGCAGCCAGAGTGGGAGTGGCATAACTGTCCTTGAGGATAAGTTAACGGATGTGGTGTTCGATTGCACCACTCACTTATAAGCAATATAACTTATCTGCAGGGCATATGTGTGGACACAGGGGAAGCATGTGGTTCAAAGGCTATACTGAGGTAATACCTGATCGTATACAGCCCTCAGATCCGTGTCACTAAGAAATAGGAGAAGATCCTGAGGTTACTGTCTCTTTAACTCCGTGGCAGTGTACGACGGTCCCAAAAGAGAGAATTCACATCTGCGATCATCATGGTCCACATTGTGAAGATGTGAATTTGAAGGATCTGAAGCCTAAGCAGCAAGACACGTGGTGAAACAGGCATCGCACCAGCAGGTGATAACCCTCGTGAGTAAGTATACGTCGTTGTGTTGGTGCGTAGGCCCATATATACATTTATTGATGCGGCAGTCAATATCCCTTCTACCATTCAAGCGGTACTCGATCTTGCCATGCGTCAAAACCTGCGTTTACGCCCAGGGAGAAGAGCAACGCAAAGACCAGGGCCGAACTCAAGGCTGAAGAGCTCGAGAGACGCAATGCTGCCAGAGCCCATAAGGAGATTGCAGTTTTCGGGGCGGAATGCGAACTTGAACGAAGAGTGAAGAAACGCAGGAATGCGGGCTTGCTTGATAGCAAGACTACCAGATGCGATGTTGAAATGTTGATGTTGATGTCGACGAATAAACTGCCAATTAAATGTTGTCAGAAAACGAGACTTTGGCGCTCGATCTGCACAGCCCGTGCACAAGCTCTGGAGTGAACAGCATGAAGACATGCAGAGGACTTGAACTGGAATCTCCCTCTAGCTCTACCGAGCATTGAACAAAACATTTATTCTGTAACAGATTTCATTCACCCTGCGCGTGTTAATTCTGCGAACAAATCAAGTACCTGCGAGTAAGTGACGGTATTCGTTTGATGAATAAGAGCTGAAATTGTACCACACCCATCAGGTGAAATCCACCAACCAACATCCTATCTTCACGAGCCCCTGCAAAGAACGATAAATTAACGACAAAGCCTCACCAAAAGATGCAAGGACACGCCGGTTGGGCCTATGGCATCCTGTGCCTGCCCGGTAAACGGCGGATCATTATCTGCTCATGGGATATCCGAATCTGGAACTTGGAGGGTGAAAGGTAGGATTTGGAAGCCTTGGAGAACGAAGGAAGTGGAAAACTGTGCGCCATAGCACTGTCGCTGGGCGGTAAGACAGTAGCAAGCGGGGGTTTGGATGGCGCAGTGAGTTTGTGGAACATTGACATGGGCAAGGTCATCAAAGAATGACGGGGCACACAGAGGGAGTGTGTTCTATCTGCTGGAGTCTAGACGGCGAGGTAGTACTGAGCGAACCCTTGGATGGGACAGTTTGTGGAACGTCAAGCTAAGAGCGGGGAGAGTCAAGACAGTCATCGGACCATTTGAGACAGCATGGAAAATCGCGGACGATTGGGTGTGGGCAGTTTGCTACTCGCTGGATGGCACGGTTGTTGCGACGGGCGCCGACAAGCTGAAAGTCTTGGAGGCCAGCACAGGCGAATCGCTCAGAACACTCGAAGGAGTTGTTTCACATCGGGGATTCGAATATTTAAGACTGGTTTGAATGTCGTGCGAAATGTCAAGATAATACTTAATATTTAGGTTGTCGTCTTAGCGGATGTAAAATTTCAAATGTTAAAGAGGTCTTTCACGACAAGAGAAATATAAAGTATCAGCGAACATTTTCTTACTGTCTGAATGTCAATGACAATAAGAAATATAAATATATCTTTAATGCTGGCATAAACTTTGAAATGAAACTTCACATTTAAGACTCGAAAAAACTTCAATTTTAGCACGTGACTGAACATCTGCTCATGTATGAAGTTTAGACCGTCGCTTAGACGGGCGTTAAAATTCAAAGTACCCCCTGACAATAAAACGTGAAAATAAATCATCAAGTTTTATCTCCAGATAAAACCGATCGCCCGACGATCGCCCACTCACGGCTGAATCATCGCCCACTTACAACGTCATCGCCCACTTGAGTTTGAGATGCGAAATATATTAGGGGACCAGACGAGCTAGAACTTAGAAAAACGCATTAACACACTCTTATTCAACTGGTACAGACCAACGATAGCATGACGGGGTGGACAGCTTATATATTGTACATGTACACGAATGTAGTAGAGTGAAACCGAAAATCAACCCTGTTTGACAGTAGTCAGACACCGGTGATTTCTCGAGGTGAATGAATGTACTTACAAAATCATTTCAACTTGTATACAGGCTAGTGCTAGTGCCTAGTGCTAATTCTCTGTAAAAGCTGAGCAGGAGATTAGAGACGCACAAGTAACAACCAATTTATTCTTACCACTTGCTTTGGTGGCAAGAAAACTGCAAGACGCCGCGTCGACGTTTTTCATCATTTTGTTGGTGCCTGCATTGAATTTGAGTGAGCCTTTCCACTTCGAGCCAGTCATTGGACCGTTTGCATCATCAGTGAATGTATGTCGCTCACGTGAAACACCCCGTCGAATGTTGTCCAGGCGTGACTGGAACCAAAATTCGCATTGACTGGACCAGAACCCCACGTTTAGTCCTGAGGCAGCCCAGGCCTGGGGCCTGGGCCACCAGGAGACGATTTCAACATTCCCGTCGTCTAGATTCAAACATAAGCGCCTCTGTCGATGTAAACAAGAGAAACTTACTGGTATGCAGATAATACGTCCCGCACATGAAATCTACCTCCTCTTCTGACAGCTCATCATCGAAATAAGTCTGGCCATTAATGTCCAGCATGAGGCCAAACGGTACCGCTTCCTGCGAAATGCCATCGAGAACGGAGGGGAGAACATCGAACCCAAGACTATGTAAAGCCAGCCGCCATATGAGGCCACCATGAAGAAGTGCCGCTCTTGCGCGAGGCTGGTTCATGAACTCGTGACGGTGCTGCTTGTACACGATGTAGTCAGCAAAAACAGGCCTAAAATGGGCGAGTCTGCGATCCTCGGGGGGGAAGACGTGTCCGAGCGAGTATGTATGGAGTTCCGTAGGTGGGCGTCGAGCGTCAGGTGGAACTGAGATTGGCTGCAACGTCTTTATAGCGATTCCTTTTTCAAGGAGGTTATACGTGATCTTGGTGATATCCGAGCCCCAGTCACGCCGGAGGCACATCACAGCCGTGATAGCGTCGGGAACCGCCAGTTTCCAGGGCACCAGATTTGACGACAGTGACTCGATGATGTAGAGCCGCTGCTTGGGTTGTTGCACATAGGAAACTCGAATGTGTGCATTTGAGACTGACAGGGACGAGTCAGGTCCTAGATCCCAGAGATCGGGCGGGATGTCTGACAACTGAGATTGAGGGAGCGTGACGAGGTAACCTATAAAACATGTGATGACATGCTTCTGTGCGTCTGGAATTGACGTGATATCCGTGGGGTTGTCGCCGATGAGTCTGGTTAAGTGAGTCCACTGTGTCTTGCGAGTCCAATCATCGAATGTAGTCGATCTGCCTCGGGGTGTAGTGGTGGATGCTGCAAGACAATATCCGAGATGAAAGTGCAAAATGGAGACAAATCGCTCAACACTACGAGTGTACTGCGTTGAGGGTGCAACCTCATAATGACCGAAGTAGGCTTCGATGTCTTTCAAGAAACTGGACAAGGGTGGGGCAGGGGCAGGGGGAGCAGGGGTAGGTTCAGAAGGAGCAGACGCAGGCGGGAAATCATCTTCCTCCCAATCGCCATCGGGAACGCTGGTAAGATCCAATGCATCGCACAAATCCCACTCATTACGGAACGAGTCGTATACCCTGGTAGACTTGCTATACGACATCCAAGTCATTGGTATCTCAGCCTTTGTGAGACGGATGCGTTGATGAAAGCTGCCAAACTCGTCATTAGGTTGCCATTCAAACACCACAACTGTGCTGGATTTGCCAGGAATGCCGTGGTTCATGGCTGCCCGCTCACGGCTCTGACGCGACTGCCGTTGAGCTGGTGTCTCCGTCTCCTCTTTCCTCTTGTTCTCCTGACGGCGCCGTGCAAAGAATGCCTTGAAGTCTTCTCCTCGCTTCTGTCTAGAGTGGGGTTGGGAGACCGGGAACAGAGAGTCCGCATGTGCCTCGGGAACATCAGACACGGGCTGTGCCCCACTGTTCTCACCCCATCCAAGGGCGCTATCGTCCCAGTTAAGGACACTCTGAGTGTTGTCCTCTGGTCGACCCCACGCACTATCGTCTGGTTGACCCCACGCACTTTCGTCCAGCTGACCCCAAGTGTCAGGCGTCTCCTTGCGTTGGACTTCCTCGGTCACATGGGTGATAGCTGCCGGAGACGGGATATAATGACGCAAGGTAAAATCAACGGCGGCAGAAGTATCCCCAGAAACGCGGACCCAAATTGGAAGCGAGAATTTCTCAAACATGGGCAATTGAACTTGCCAAGGACAGTGAATGGAAGAGATCAAGGCTCCTGTACGTGGCACATTTGTCGTCAGATCTCCAACGAATGAGCGCGACAACTCAAGAACCCATTCAGCGGGTATGGGATGTTGGGGGTTACTCGTTAAGATAGCCGTCCACTGATTGGCACCTTGGTATCGACGCGTCATGATGTACCACGAGCAGGTGGCGGCAATTACTGGAAATCCGTCAGGCAATCACGAACGATGAATAAACTGGTTGACTTACATAGAAATGCATCGCGCGACCTTATTGCAACCTTTTTAGCAAGGTTAGCATCTGTATGCCACCGTTGGTACCCATAGGAAGTCGGAGGGCGTGGAAGTTTAGTCCCCCATGGAATCAATAATCCAGCACCCAAATGTTCCTGGCACCAGAGCAGTTTCTGCTCTAACTCGACCCATTTTGCCCGAATATCGTGGTGGAGAATGTGCCTTCCCGATGTATCTACCTCTGTAATGAGGGAAAACCTGGAGTGGTTGAGGCATCCAAAGATTGGCCCATCAAAGCTAGGATTCAAAGGTACCAGGGGAAACCACGGACAAGTTCCGTACACCCAGCGAGTGGTGAGTGGTGTATTACTATCGTCAGGAGAACTATCATAGTCTTCGTGAGGATCCCAAGGAGGCTCATGAGGTATGACGTCAGGAAGGGAGTGTGCGGTGAGAGAGGTATAAACCTGCCCATCACGGACGATGACACGGAGATTGTTACTCATGGATGTGAGGAGACGCAAAGAGTATCACAGTCAAGACTACTACCGCAACAGTACAAACCGTTACGTTAGGTCAAGATCAGAGACGTTGAGTATATCGCAGTCATTGAGAATATCGCAGTGCAGTCGTTGAGAATATCGCAGTGCAGTTGTTGAGAATATCGCAGTGCAGTTGTTGAGAATATCGCAGACGCAGAGTATCACAGTCAAGACTACTACTGCAACAGTACAAACCGTTACGTTAGGTCAGAGACGTTAAGAATATCGCAGTCAAGACTACCGCAACAGTACAAACCGTTACGTTAGATGAGGAAGAAGGTAACGAAATGGGAGAAGGTTTGGTGCGTCTAATATAGACGTAGCGGAGTTTCAACAAACAATTACCATATCAGTGGCAACAATATGGGGTGTGGTCTGTGGTGGTCTGTGGCCTGTGTGGATTGAGACAAGCGGAGGCAAACAAAACAATGCCACTGTGACTTGGGATGAGTGGAGAAAATTAAAAATTAAAATTAACAACAGAATTTTAACTATGTGGCTTGAGATGTGAAGTAAAGAACTTGAGTTAACCTTGGAGTTGGGATGTTGACGATGGTGATGGAGCCAGAGAACGCCGGGTGGCACGACTGAGTGAGAATAGGGCTGCCATGGACAGTCGAACCAGGAAGCGACAGGATGTCGACTTAGAGTTAGGACATTGGCAGTGGGGATGAAAGTAGAGAATACCGGGCACGACCGTACATACAGTCATGCCCTGGAGAAGGTCGTGAAAGGTTGCTGCGACGAGACGATAAAAGAGGAGTTAATGCAGGGCATGACTGTACATACAGTCATGCCCTGGAAGAAGGTGAGGAAGGGTCGTTTTCGACAAGGAGAATGGGAGCTCGACAGTACAAACCGTCGAACCTCCTAGAGTAATAGTTACTAAGTTCCATAGGACTTAGAACTTTGGCAACGAAAGCGCCCAACAATCACAAACACCCATATTAGGAAATTGTTACATAACATTGACATTGACTGCTTGACAGTTTGAACTTTGTACTCTGCTCATCGTCCCCATCCTCGGAGCACGACAGTATGTACTGTCGTGCTCATTGAGTTCATCCTTTGTACTTTCGAGCTGCTCATCGTCCCCATCCTCGAAGCACGACACTATGTACTGTCATGCTCATTGAGTTCATCCTTTGTACTTTCGAGCTGCTCATTGTCCCCATCCTTGAAGCACGACAGTATGTACTGTCGTGCTCATCGAGTTCATCGTTCCTATCTTCGGAGCACGACGGTATGTACTGTCGTGTCTCCTATCCCATTAATCAACCAACAAGTCCAGCCAGTCAACACACGTCATCCAACTCGCTTTCGCTTATTGCGACCCCTTGGATCACGTTGGCCCTGTCTTCTACGTCAGGTAACCAAGTCGTTTGTTAAAATCCAACCCCATTGACCAACCGTTAAACGATCCAGCCATTAACATCTGTCATCCCCTCCACCTGTACATACAGTGGAGGTGGAATTGACTCAGTCCATCTACCAATGCGGTGGAGGGCATAATGCAAAACCTATGTCTATGTTCAACTAGCGTGCTACATGTACTGGATGAGAGATAGGTCCTTCGTCTCTTCATCTCCTTTTGCTGCTCGCGGGTAATCAGTATCGCGCTTGCCCCTATGGTCATCTTTGTCGATCGCTCCATCCGCTTCTTGAGCTAGCTCCATGATCTTTGCCACTAATTCCCGGAGCATCATAATGTCATTTTTGACGTATCCTTCGGTCAGGCCCTTCCTTATCGTCCTTCTGGATATCTACATACTCGTCAAATATCATGGCAGCTTGGACACGCTGTGAAAAGTCATCAGCCACATTAATCATTGTTGCCGAAGTCATGTACCCATGTACACGGTTCAGTGCGCTATCCTGAAGGTGCGTCAGTTAGATCCCTGCTGACCAACTGGCCCACTTACCAAAAAGCTGTCTCTATAATTTATCAGCAGGAAGACGCTCATAGATAGCAGTGCCAGTAGTCGTGTCAACATAACCAGTATGTGCGACAGGGACCAGTAATCCCCTGAGGGCGCCTTGGATACCTTCGGCACTGCGTAGTCATACGCCCATATCTTGATTGTAGTTTTCCCTGTGCCCTAGCACGGGCGAAGTGCTGGCAATTGTGCAGCGGCCATTGAGATCGCGTGCCTAAACCAGGTCAGTGACATTTTTTTCCGACTAGTCTTAATACTTACAGATATTGTTTGCACAAGGCCAGTGTCCGCGTGGTGGAGGGTTTGAAGTGTCTCCCCTGTCTTCCGATCAAATATATATACTAGCCCATGGTCACTTCCTCCCACAACTACCTTGCCGTCTTCCCCGAATGCCACTTGCTTCGGGACCGATACGCTTGGCAAACCAGTTGCAAACGTTCGAACAGGCTCACCATCACCTTCAAGGCGATATAATGTAAACCCGTCTGTTGCATTATCAACAACGAACACGCCCCGCTTGGAGTACACCGCAGCATGACCACTATATAATGTCAGTAACGCGCCCAGGTCGAGAGCGGTAGTTTCTCACATCACTGATTTGCAGCTAATTTCTTGCACTATGTCGCCATCTTCATCCTTCAGTTTCATGCTGTTCGGCTCTCAGCATCAGGCAATGAAAGTATGCAGTGGAAGGACTGACAAGTTGCCATCATAGAGCCCGAACACATAGATGCTCCGGTTATCTGCGAACGCTACCGACTTGGGCACCGTATTTTCAAGTCGCACTGCGAAGACAGGCTGGAGCTGCGAGCTTGTATTGAGCGTCAGAACCTGAACCATTTTGTCTCTAGTTCCGACTACAATTCACAGGTTGCTGTCAGAGGAAGTTGAACGCCATGACAAGCATGTGATCTCAAAACCCGATCCCAGTCTCCTGGCACATATTTCCTGGAATTTTTCCTGTTGGCGTCAATGGACGGTCGAACAGCAAACCTAGGCGCTTACATCTGTGAGACTGCGTCGCAAACATACAATATAACCCAGGCCTGTTCCATAGCAGAGGGTTTCTGCCGTGGTTTTCATAGTCGTGGCCCAAATTGCGCAACTGACTGTTCCCCTTGATTCATGATGATTGGACGAAGATGTGAGTTCTTTCCGCGATGTGATATCCCAGAGTTTGATTCCCTCGGTTCCTGTTTGTTTGTTTGTTAGCCCTGTCTATGACCGAGTTTCTTCTTTCTTACCACCGCATGCAAGCAGGTGTCCATCATTAGAAATCGCAAGTGCATGGATAGAGCCATTATAGGCAGTTAAACGGGTGAGCAGCTTGTAACGCAGTGGCTGCGCTGACTTGTTGAACAATGCAAGGAAAGACATTATGATATAATCCGCTGTAGTCGCCCGCTCACAACGTATTTATCTGTACTTCTCATTTGTTTTCAAATACTTTTGTATTGTTACTGTATTTGTTTGATTCCATGGTAACTTCTAGTCATCGTCGACGCCATTTGTGTGCTATTCTTCTTATTCTTCTCTATGGCCCTATTATTCTTATTATTATTCTTTACAAGCGCTATTCTTGGTTACCATTTTCGAAGCCCCTTATTGTTTTCGCTCAATATGGTAATCTGTTGAATACTTTACTCTCATGAACCGTCCTTAAGTTCCAGGTAGCTACTCGGTTCTTTCTCTATAATGCGCAGTACTACCATTGTTCCACCTTTCTATGACTCGGAGCCTGGTGCTCCACCACCTCTTCCCCCAATGCTCACGGACCAGCTAGAGCTGTTTGGCAATGCCAATCGTCGCCCGACTACACTTATCGCCGATGAAATCCTAGTTCCTCAAGCTAGTATCATTTCCACTGCAAGGGCTTCGTCGTCTACACCCGCCCCTGAATTCAAGCTTGCGAAGCAGATGCGCAAGCATTCTGATCACTCTACCTCTCCATACACCAAGAAAGTCACTTCCACGCACTCTCATTCTCGAATGCCTTCACCCTCAGATTCCTCAGGCACTTCGGATTCTTTCTCAGACAGTGACTCCTCAACTTCGAGCGCGAGTTCATCAGAAGACTCAAAGATTCCTAAACCTGCCGGTGAACCTGGGCGTCCGGGGCGTGGGGGTTACACACTTCGTGAAGCTTTAGATTGGAATCCAAAGGCATACGCAAAATTCAAGGTTTGCAAATTGTCATTGTACCCTTAGTATTGCAAATTAACTCGCGAATTCCTAAGAGGTCTATGCATAGTCTCATCGACAACCACCTTGACACGACAAAATACGCTTCTGCCCAAAGTCCTGCGCTATTGGAAGTTGTGCGTGGCAAGGTGAACAGTTTCTCTGAGTCTCGATATTGTCAATGAACTAATCATCTCTGACAGGCGCTCAACAACTTCCCAGACCTTGACAATTATAACAACTTGTGGCCAGTCAACGATTTGATCATGACACGCCTGAAATACATGTCTGGACGCGCGAGACGAAAGGTGGGAGAAATGGCTGTAGGCAAGAGCAAGAGCAAGGCCAGGAAGTGATACCCCGACTGCATTAGATGTCTCCGTCATTATTACGTGCTGTATGCATTCTATATCAAGCTGGCATTCAAAGATTAGTAGCCACGAGTTTTACGCGCATCAGGGAGAGCGAAACTACATCATGCAAGTCGTCTGCGAAGCTACCCAGAACCCGTCAGTATCAGTTTCAAGCCAGTGCTTTCGAATGTTTAGTCAAGACGCGCATCAGGGAGAGCGAAACTACATCATGCAAGTCATCTGCAAAGCTACCCAGAACCCGTCAGTATCAGTTCAAGCCGGTGCTTTCGAATGTTTAGTCAAGATCATTGTGGCACTGTACTACAACAATATGGCTTTCTATATGGAACGGATCTTGTTTGGCATATATCTGCAGTCCAGCTGAGAAACTCGGTATGTAACAATGCTTTAAATTATACTACTACTCCACACCTTGCAGCTAACCGACAATTGGTACGAGTACTCAGGGGTTTCACAAGAGTAAGATCGCATGGGAGCCTAGCTCTTGGACGACTACTTATGCTTTGCGCAAAGCTGAAAAGATAGTTATGGTAGGCTCAATAGATCATCGAGTTTACTCACTGGTGAATTATAAAGTCAGCAAGCGCATTATCTCTGCCTCGCATGTTCACAACTGAGGGATAGTTGACTCCAACCCTCATAACCACTGCATCGCCTCGGAACTTATGATCACCCGTACTAAGAAGCACGTTGGCTCGGAGACGAAGATGTCGCTTGAAGAAGATGCAGAATCGATGGATGTGTCTCCCTTCGCACACATTCACGAAACAGTTGTGAACATAAGGCTGCACGGTAGCCTCCTCGAGAAGACTTTCAGGAACAGGAAAACGCTGAGCAGTGCATGAGCGGCCAGAGCAACGCGTCAACATGGTGACCTGACGGGGTCTGGTCCACGATGCTGAATATAGCCTGCACCGCAGGTGAAGCTCCGGGGTCTGATTTGAAGGTAAATAAAGGGTGTGAGGTAGTAAGCGATAACTTACAGCAGACATTGGAAGGATATATGTGCGAGTGTTTACCATCTGATTATAGTTTGATCAAGGCAATAATCTAAGAGGTGGGCGATGAATGCGGGCGATGAAAGCGGGCGATGGAAGCAGGCTATAGCAGCGATCTGTCTTTTAATAACTTCACGTGCTGAGTCAAAAGACAATAACCATAATCGTTTCGGATGTAGTTGACGAAAAAAATAGCGGGGAGCCAAACCGAAGCATGACAATACTGCAATGATAATCCTGCGGCGCTAGTTGTCAAGGGTGATGGTACGAGGTAATTGTAAGAGCGAATAGAGCAAGATAATTGTAAGTGCGAATAGAGCAAAAGATAATTGAAAGCGATGGAGATGGGCCTGGACCTGTTGGAACTGTTGTTCATTCATACAACAAGACGTCTAAAAGAATCAAGACAAAAATACATGCACAAAACTTAAAAAGACCCAGGAATGATGTTTGCAAACTGACTGATGAATTATTCCCCGCTATGAGTGCCAATAACATTGACGTCGACATGCAGCATCCCGAGTTTCAGCAAGAAGACTGTACAAACGTCTCATGACGCGGATTTATTTGGTGGCGATGAAGACGATGATAAGGGTCCTGGCAACTTCATGGATGTTCTCAGTCAGCCTCCCACCAGCGTACCGCGATTCGACATCAGTCAGCCTCCCACCAGTGTACCGCGACTCGACATCAGTCAGCCTCCCACTAGTGTACCGCAATTCGACATCAGTCAGCCTCCCACCAGTGTACCACGACTCGAGCAACTCGAAAAGAGGGCCAGAGAGGAAGTGGTATGTAGATAGTACGAATCAGCTTCCATGACTCATGATACCCATCCAGATATCTGGGAAGCGTCGCATTCAGGAAGTCGACTATTCGCAGGTACTTTGCCAGACTGTGTATGAACAACAAGAACGTATTAACAACATTATAGAGGAAACTGAAGTGGTATGCATGAGAAGCTCATTGGGGATACACTGCTGATCATACCGGCAGATACGCCGAGAAGCTCAAGACCACATTGAGGAGCAACGACGTCTTGCAGAAGAAGAGCATGAGCGCCACACGCGCAATTTCAACGAGCGATGGGAAAAGGCTCTGAGAGAGCGAGAGCGGGAAAAGCAAGTAAGTGCAACAGATGCATTCAGTCAGATGCATGCTTACAAGTTAATAGGAAATTCACACATGGCAAGAGCAGCAGCAAGCACTGCTGAGGAAGAACATTGCTGAAGAACTAGCACAGCATGAAGCAAAAATAAGTGCAAAAAAAGACCAAGAGGTGAGAAAGAACTGACTGACCAAGGAATTACTAATGATGGCAAGTAGTTGGCTGAAGAACTGGCACGACACAACGCAGATTTAGATACAAGAAAAAATCAAGAGGTGGGGAAGAACGACTGAGCATGGGAATCACTAATGATGTCAAGCAGCTAGAAGAACGCGAGAGAGCCATTTTTGCCGAAATGGAGCGAAGGCTACAACTAGAAATAGAAAAAATGAGGGTAGAAAAAGAGAACGAGCTCGCTAACATGGAGCAGCGCTTTGCAAGACATGGTAGGCAATAGCATGCGGCCACGGAAATCGGCACAGACCCCACCCAAAGGAACGCTCAACAGCCACCCCACACGCCCCAGAAACCACAGCTCAAGACTCTGTGCCTCGAGACGATTAAAAAGATCAGGAAGGCACGTGGAACAACACGCAAGATGCGTCTGGTATCTGTAGTAGAGGTAAGTACTAAGCGGTCGGAACTCATTTTAAACTCACGTCATAGCAGGACGCTGACGAGCCTATGGGAAACGCATCGAGAACGATCATCGACAATTGAGCAAGAGCCACAGCGATTTCAGCCTGACGACGTCTACCCTATGTCTGCGATGGAAAACGCGATCTCCAAAGGCATAGAGGCGGCACTCAGACGCATCCTCGTCGATAAGGATATTTTGACATCCACGAAGCGTAGTCCTCGAAGGAAAAAGAAGCAGGATGATGAAATTAGGATAGAAAGGGCCGCAGATTTGAGCCACGAAAGAGACTTCCTTCTTGTGAGAGTTAAATTTTTGACGTATATGCTGATGCTAAGCATGAAGTAGGGTGAAATACGGCGTCTCCTCAAAGATACCTTCAGTATATCTCAAGACGCAGATTTTATTGTGCACCAGCCGGCGGATCGTGAAGATGTGTACTCGTACTCGTACGAAGATGGCCCAGGCCCCAACACCCAGAATCTGGCCTTTGATCTCAAAAACGGATTTTAACACCCCCTGGAATGCGAAAATTCTCGATATTCTCCTTGAAGAATTGAAAAAGAGGAGTGTAGAAGAGGAGTGGCCGTTCCGGAGGTCGGATGCCTATTATAAGGCAATACTCGAAGATCGCTACAAGCGGATGCGGATGGTCTGGAGAGCAGCCCAACCAAGGTTACAGCAAAGGGCTGCTTGGAGACTGCGGAAGAAGTGGAGGAGAGGTTGATTGATGCAAAAAGAGGTGAAAATCTGAAGTCGGTTCGTCAAACAAACTCAGTCGGCGAAATGTATGTCCGCAGCATGATCTCAAGGCTCTTTGATACTAATGCGTCTATAGAAATATCTCCGCAGAGCAAAAGTCCTGGAGCAAGTTATTGAGCTGAAGAAAGATGGCGAGGACGACGACCTACCAGCTTGGCAGTGGCTTCAAAAACTAGTCAAGACGCTGGGAGACAGGGGTATGAGTTCAGAAGAAAGTGATATCGAAAACGACGTTGAATGTGTGCTCCGGGTCAAGAACATGGCATGGCGTAGCGGGATAGAGCGAGAACTGAATATCATCGATAATCAGAGAGTCTTGGATGATGAAAATTTTCGTGCCCCAGGGTTCCAAACCAATGAAGAGGATACGCCTCAGGAAATTCGACGACTGTACGGAACCCGGTCACTGGATTACCCAAGGCCCTATACAACGGCAGATGGTTTGATGGTCTTACTGGAGGTCAGGTAGAAAGGTTGAATGTGTCAGATGAGACATTCCGATGGATGAAAGTGGTGTAGCATAGTAGCGTGTTGAATAGACGGTGTAAGTGAACCACAGGGAACGGAAGATAAAGATAAGATAATTCCCCTCCACTGTATGACGGTGGAGGGGATGACGCGTTGTGACGGCTGGCTGGATCGTTGCGAGAGCGAGTTAGCCATTGCCCAC